GAAGGTCCTTGACAGCGTAACCTGACAATTCAATCTGGAAAACACTTTGGGAAGTCAGCAAAGCTCCCCTGTGACGGTCGAGATCGAAATGACGAGAGATGATATGCAGGATCGTTCGGCCCCGCGGAGCAGTGGCTTCACGTGTGCAACTCTCGATGTAACCCTGGACCTTAAATTGCAACTCCGGCAGTTGTTTCAAGCCTTTGATTAACTCGGCAGCCAGCCATCTGTCCAGTCTTGGAAACTGTCCCGAGGATTCTTGAACAACCGTTTCACAGCCAATTTGAAAGGATTGGGCCAACCACTTGGTAAGAACATCCTCTTCAGAAATATCCAGGCGCCCGAACAACAAAATGATCGAGTTTTGTCCACGCCCGAAATTCTGAGGCATTGGAGGGGATGACATCTAGCTTTGCATGTTGGAGGGTACGACCATCAACCATGTCACGCTCCGTTTTTGGAGTGGGTTCAACAATCAGCTCTTCATCATCTTCATCATCGTCATCATTCCCCCATCCTGGATCATCCCCGCCTGGTGGACCAACTGCTCCTCCAACAAGATCTGACTGTCTGGATCCTTGCAAAGGCACAGGCAAAGTCAAACAAGCTTGTGGTGGCTGTGAAGGTTGGAGTGTTTCCGTATAATTTCGGCCCATGTTGCTTTCATATGACATCATGCGACCTGAAAGCTCCTGAAAGCTTCTAAAACAGGTGCAAGTTGAGATGACACTGCAGCTTGAACATCATGCAACGAAAGGCCATGCGACTCAGCTTCACCAGAACTCCTCGGCGCCTGCATTGGAACTTGTCCGGATGAGGGAGCGGCGCTTAAAGCTGCCAATCTCTCCTCAAGCCGGGTCTTGTCAGAACTCAAATTGGACACTTCGGACATCAATCGGGAGATTTCAGAATCTTTGTGGCCTAAAAGTCTCTGGGTTTGGGACTTTGCTGAATCAAACTGCGCCATCACATCATGATTGAGTGAAATCTGGTCCTGCAGTTGAACCTTCACCCTCTGAACTTCGAAAGAAAGCTTCTGCAAAGACTCATCTTTCTCAATACAAGACTGGTGAAGTTGTTGGGCAATCGTCATAAGTTGTTGAACTTGTTGGCAGGCTTGAGAGTAAATTTCCTTTGACAAACCCTCAAAATGATCGGCTCGGCTCTTGGACTCATCTAAAAGTCTTTGGCTTCACCTACCATTCTACCATACTCAACAGGATCAACATGCATCGTGTCCGTTTTGGTTCTGTCATCATGGACATGGAATTCCTGATGATGATGAACTTCAACTGGAACATCAACCGAACCCTGACCCCGGTGGGATGGAGAAGGACCACGACTTTCGGATGCTCTGGGCAACGCCTTCATGATAGTGGACACTGGCTTTCTTCCTGACCCACCACCCTGGGTTGTTTTGGAACGGGCACGCCGGGGAGTCGACGACGCGCTTCTGCTGGATCTTTGAGATGCTTCACCAACAACAGCTGGGACATCCATTGACTCACTACTGATATTCAAACTTTCAAGATTTGAAGTTGGATCTGAACTTGACATCGCAACAGAAAGCCCACAAGATAAAACGGCTAGGCACGTAAATCAAAAGGACAATCCAAACGAAACAGTCCACCGTGGCGCTCAAAGCAGCCAATCAAGGTGATTGCGGAGGTCAAAAGTCCAAATGGATTGATGAAATCAAGTGCAATCAATTGCAAAATCCAAAAACGAAAGATGCTCGGTTGAAATGAAGCTCAAATTCCAATGCACTTGCGTGAAACTGCCGCTGACAATGCAGTGAAACAACCTCAAAGCTTGCGGTGAAACGATCCAGCTGTGACACAACAACAGCAGTGAGACACCCTGGGCTTGTGGCTGATACTGCAAATGCGATCTTCGTGCAAAAGAAAAAGACGTGCAAGGAAACGGTTCAAGGCAAATCACAATCAAAGTCCAATGAGGGATTGAGAATGTTGCCAACTTGATGAAATCCAAAGACAATGATGGCTGATGAATCGTTGTTGTGGCAAAGTGCCAATCGTCTGAAAAACGCTCAAAGCAAAATGCCGAGAACTCAAATTGTAGTATATTGTAGTCTTGGGCTCAAACTCAAAGCAAAATGCCGAGACACTGAAGACTTGCAAACAGCAAAATGCCGATAACACGTTGGAGCACCGTACTCCTGCCGTGGCGCTGACGCAGCCTTACAGCAGCGAGGCAAAAGATTCAAACACTAATCAAATTCGGATGCTCGAATTCCAAACGCAAACCACGGCAGCGAAACTAAGTTAGTGGCAAAACTGACTCAGCTGCGAAACACTGATGCGGTCTTGCACTTGAAAGTCGAATGCGGTCAAAGCTCCAAATTTGGAGAACACCTTTCTTGATGAAACAGTTCACAAACTAATGCGGCGAAACTCGAAAGATGCCACACTGCGATGCAAACTAACTGATATAATGAAACTCGGCTCTGGGCAATCGGCGACAGGCAAATGAAACACAGTGACAACGGACTGGGAGCTCAATCGGACGGAACCTAAACGGATGCGATACTAACGAATGAACTTCCGGATCGATACTGTTGGGACGCACTGCAGAAGCCAAACACCCAAAGGCTAAGACGAATTGAATGCAAATGCGAGGTGAAATCACACTGGATGACACTACTGCTGAGAGTGGTGGAAACGGATGAACTGTTCAAAACGATGACCACCCATTCTTCCGACAGCAAATGTAGACACAACCTGCGCAGACTTTTATGGAGTCGCCAACCACAAAAATGTGATATGAAATTTGGGGATCAACAAAAACAAGAGCAAGCTACGGCTGATAACCAATTGAACTGTTGATGTTAACAACTGATCTCCAAAAGTAACAAGTAAAAGACCGCGAACACACCCGGGGCAGCGAACACGAATCTTTTACCATCTTGAGCCAAAAGTCATTTAAACAAACTAAGTTGGACCTTGACTGGAAAGGAAGGGTTTACTAATGAATATGTAGGTGTGTTTACGCCACAATATTCAAGTTTTACACTCTACACTCTACACTCCGCACTTTACACTCTACACTCCACACTTTACACTCCAAGCTTTACACTCCACACTCTACACTCTACACTCCACACTTTACACTCCACACTTTACACTCGACACGTTACACTTTACACTGCGCACTCCACACTTTACACTCCACACTCTACACTCCACACTACACACTCTACACTCCACACTCTACACTTTGCACTCCACACTCAACACTTTACACTTTACACTCCACACTCTACACTTTACACTCCACACTCAACACTTCACACTTTACACTCCACACCTCACACTGCACACTCTACACTCTACACTGTACACTGCGCACTCCACACTCTACACTTTACACTCCACACTTTACACTCGACACGTTACACTTTACACTACACACTCTTCACTCCACACTCTACACTTTGCACTCCACACTCAACACTTTACACTTTACACTTTGCACTCCACACTCTACACTTTACACTCCACACTCAACACTTTACACTTTACACTCCACACTTCACACTCCACACTCTACACTCTACACTGCACACTGCACACTCAACAATCTACACTTTACACTCTACACTTTACACTCCAGACTCTACACTCCAAACTCCACACTTTACACTCTACACTTTGCACGTCGCACTCTACACTCCACACTCAACACTTTACACTTTACACTCCACACTCCGCACTTTACACTCCACACTTGAAACTCTGCACTCTACTCCAGACTCTACACTCCACGCTCCACACATTACACTACACTTTACGTATCACACTCTACACTCCACACTCTACACTCCACACTTTACACTGTACACTCCACGCTCTACACTCCACGCTCCACACTTTACACTCCACACTCCACAATCTCCACTTCACACTCTTCACACTACACTCCCCACTCAACACTCTGCTTTCCTCACACCCCCGACCGCGCACTCCACCCCCTCCGGATCCCACAGTCTACAGCGCACTGGTAACAGGCAAAAAATGTAGACTGTTCAAATCAGTTGTTTCACAAAAATGTTTTGCGTGACTGCATTCGGGTTCGTGGGCTGCATCTTGTGTTTTGGGTTTACTTTTTATATATTTAATTTAGTGTATATATAGCGTATATTAAATATCCAAAGATTCATTTAATGACTTATATAATGACTAATATAATGACTAAAATAATGATTAATGTAATGACTGCATGGAAAAAAGTGCACTCCCACAGCGGCCAGCTCTCTAAATATATAGCGTATATATATATATATATATATGTTTTGTTTATTTGGCATATGGTTTCCTGAGTGTTTGTTTCAATTTGTTCTCCATTCCTTTCCGACATCACCAAATGGAGGGCGGAGCCTGTGTTTCTGCTGCCCCAAAACTCAAATGAGTGGTTCAGTTTGAATAATTTTCGAAAAGGACAATCGCTGGCACAATGGCATGCCTGATCATCTTCAAGCGTGCTTATATAATGCTGCATGTAGCACATTTCATTGGTTGTTCATGTGCGTGATGTTGGCAATGTTCGTGGTTATGTTTGATCATTTTTGTTGTATGCAGTTGTGGTTCCCCCTGCGGTTTGCCTGTCATTTTCCACATAATTGCATCTTCACGTGTCTTTTCACTTTGTTTTATCTGCCACCTCTTCTTGAACATCATTTGTGATTGTTTCCGGTCTGGCCGTGCGCATGAAACTTTTTGATGCCGGACAATTATAGGTAAAGAAGGGATGCCCAAGTCAAATTTGACTAGCTGATCTAGTTACCTAGCGCTTTTTGTTTCATGATTCCATCATATATGTAATCATCTCTGAATCGAGCTTTCAGCACCCATTTCCTCAAGTTTGTGTCCACTGGATGTGACGCATTGGCAAGATATGGCAGTTGTAGCACGGAACGAACTGTGCCCACAGGTTGGCTCACAGGAAAATGGACCTCGGCAAATGCCCTGAGGTTCCGAGCCATGGCAGATTCAAATTGGTGGGAAAAATGTGTGCTGGGCATTACCGTGCTTGGCTACGCTCTGTTGCCGGGTGGAGATTGAGTCATGTTTTTCTTGTTTCAAGTTCCATCCCTCAAAATCTGACATGATGAGTTGATGGTGAAGATGCTTATCCCAAACGACTTCCCCGTGTGCTGGTGCAGCTCACCAGGTTGGCGTTCAATGCATTCCTCAATCGCCGGAACCGACTGAAAGTCTCCGAGCAGTCGAAAACTATGTCGGAATGTGAGAGATGTTCCGTGGAACTGGTGCGTGGCCTTGTGCCACAAGCCAAGGTGCCAGACTATCGTTTCAGGGGACGCTGGGTCACGCAACATTCCGGTCCTTTGTTTTTTGGTGGTGGGGTGGCGGCGGCGGCGTTTGTTTTTCTATGTTTTTCCACACATTGACGTGTTTTTTTTTGTTTTTAGTGCTGTATCCGCTCCTTCCTTCTCCTCCTCCTCCTCCTCCTCCCGCCTGTCCTCCCAAAAATCCTCCCACACACATCACTCACTCAGTCACCCACACACACACATCACTCACACTCACACTCACACTTACCTCACACACTCACACACACATCACTCACCATCACACACATACACACATACCTCACTCGCACACATCACACTCTCACACACACACACACACACATCACTCACACACACACACATCACTCACACACACACACGCAAACACTCACTCACTCAGTCAATCACCCACCCACTCACTCACTCGCTCGCTCGCTCGCTCGCTCGCTCACTCACATCATTCACCCACACACACACACACCTCAATCACCCACACACACACACACATCACTCACCCACACACACACACATCACACACACACACACATCACTCTCACACACACACACATCACCCACTCACACACACACATCACACACACACATCACTCACCCACACACTCACACACACACACATCACTCACACACCCAAACACATCACTGACACACACACACATATCACTCAGTCACTCACACATACATCACACACACACTCACAGACTTGGTTGCCGGTCGCTTTTGCGTAGCAGGCGCGGGACTTGGCGCACTGCCAAGGGGTCGGATGTACGTCCTGGCGCTCCGTGTCTCTGGCGTCCCTTGGTCTCCGCCGCTCTGCCGGTGGTTTTTGCGTGGCAGGCGTGGCACTTGGTGCACTGCAAAGGGGCCGGGTGTACGCCCTGGCGTCCCTCCGGTGTCTCTCTGGCGTCCCTCGGTCTCCGCCGCTCTGCTGCCGGTGGCTTTTGCGTGGCAAGCGTGAGACTTCGTGCACTGCAAAGGGGTCGGAGGAAGCGGTTTTTTCATTATTATTATTAGTCGTAGTAGTCGTAGTAGTCGTCGTCGTCCTTTTGCGTGGCACGCGCGGGACCCGGCGCTAGAAAGATAGAAGGATAGATACATAGATTGACAGAGAGATAGATAGGTAGATAGAGAGATTGATCGATAGTTAGATAGATGATTAGTTAGATAAAATGCATGTACATCACATATATATACATATATTACAAACTGCCTCTTACCGTACACATATCGTTAACACACTACCAAAGTGACACACCTGTACATGCACATACATACATACATACATACATACATACATATACATACATATACATACATATACATACATATACATACATATACATACATATACATACATATACATACATATACATACATACATACATACATACATCTACATACATCTACATACATATACATACATATACATACATATACATACATATACATACATATACATACATATACATACATATACATACATAAACATACATATACATACATATACATACATATACATACATATACATACATATACATACATATACATACATATACATACATATACATACATATACATACATATCCATACATATACATACATATACATACATATACATACATATACATACATATACATACATATACATACATATACATACATATACATACATATACATACATATACATACATATACATATACATACATATACATACATATACATACATATACATACATATACATACATACATACATACATACATACACATACATACATATACATACATATACATACATATACATACATATACATACATATACATACATATACATACATATACATACATATACATACATATACATACACACAAATTCATCCACCATCACCCCTCCATCACACTCATACTTCCTGTTCCCTTGTTGTTTTTCTATGTTCAGTCTATCTAAGCCTGGTGAAATTGTCAACATGTGGGGTTATCCGGTCCTATAATTTTCATTTTTGAAAAAGGATTACAAGTCCTGGGTACACATGAGGTATGTTCATCCAGAATTATCCGACCAGGGGAAAAGAATATGCAGGATGACCGTATGTACTTGTTGAATCTTGTTGACTTGTTGGCACATCAGATTTCCTTCCTTTCATGGTTTTCTTTTCCATGGGCGAAATCTTTCCATATGTCAGTGGATCTTACCACTGTCGTTTGCGTCTCCAGGTTTGACCCATTGGAACTCTATAATCGAGGGTGCTTGGAAAAAATCAAAGTTCAATTAGCCATCAGCTGAAATATTTTCAGCTGGTACAAAACAGAACGAAATGCCGTTATTTAAAAAAAAACAATGAGTTGTGCTTTACACGTTGCCTGTTTTACACAATGCGGCAATGGGATGTTGTTATATATTATGCCCTATGCCTGGCGATTAGCACGTGTACAATGCGGTGCATTGTATATAACATATCACAGTTCAATACATATCATATAGTTTGAACAGCGCTGCAGCATAACCCAAAAAAACACGCGCGAATCATGTCGAAATGCCTTGAGGAATGCGGTTGAAGATGCCTGCGATTCGCGTGGGTTTCGACAATGTGGGGGTGAAATTGAAGTCCAACGGCCGGTGCATCCTCCAAGGTGCGATTTTTTCCCGCGAGATGCCATTGCCGATGGTGGAAGAGTAAAGTGGCCATAACTTTTGGGCCCAACCTCAAAATTCATCATGATTTAAAGATATGTTTACAATGTTTCCACCTTGTTCTCGCAGAATCAAGTGTTTCCATGTCTTGTATGAGAAAACAGGTGTGAATAAATTGCACATGTGCATGTTTTACCTTAGATAAACACACATTGATACCTTGAACAGATGCGTGCACATGTAAAGACTTACATATTTGTTTTTTGTTTTTTTGTAAATACAATATAGGATGGTATGGTATAGTTTAAATCATTATATGTATGTTTGACCAACGTTCATCACAGGTACATGCCAACAAGAACAGGGATTTTTTTGATTTTGGGATGTCAACTATCCAAAACCAGTTATCCGAAACTATAACAATCAACCTTAAAGAAGCAGAAACCCTCTATGTAGACCTGGGGTACGTGCCCAACGTGTCAAGATCATCAATTCACCCCATTGGGATGGCTCTCGTCGAGGCGTCACAGGAGAGTTCCGTCCCAAGAGGGTGGCGGCAATCATGGGCCCTTCAGGGGCCGGCAAGACTACCTTCATGAACGCCCTCTGTGGCCGCGCCTACTACGGGACTGGGGCCCTTGGGGCTGGGAATTTCTGCGATCCGGGGTGGCAGTAAGTGACTATATAAGTTATACACATCCCCCTTGGAATTTCCTCTACAGAATTGAGAACGTTGGGGCCAAGAAAATGGTGCATTTTAACCGCCTGACTTAATAAGGGGTACCTACCCAACGTCAACGCTTACAATTTTATAGAGGACCTTGGGGCCTCTGATTCTATAGAGATTTTATGTTGAATACAGCACCGGAGGACTAGTCAGCAGAGAGTCTTAGGGACTGCGATTCTACAGTGGGATATGTTCTCTTTGGATGTATGTCATGTTCTTCAATTTTATAGAGAAGTATTGGCAGAACCAATTTCCCACAACAATTCTTTGATAATCTTGTATATTTTGGAATCATTTGGAATCTTGACATATTTGTGGAAACTTTTGGATACTTTTGGATACTTTTGGGATATATTGGAGATTTGTTGGAGATCCATCATCAGGGTTTCATCAGTTATCATCAGTTATATTCAGCAAATATGTACAATTTTGACATTTCAATATCTTACAAAAGCAGTTTTTTCTGGTTTACAAACTATAAAAGTAACATTTTTCATTTTGCATCATTTTCCCCTCGTCATGTCTCCCCCGTTGTCTCCCCGTTGTGTCTCTCCGTAGCGGTTCACCGTTTTGGGGCCGAAGTCCTCGAGCCAGCCTTTCCGCCTTTCCGCTAAAAAAAAGCAAACGGATGGAAACAAAATGAAACAAAACGAAACAGAACGATTTTCAAGATCTTTCACCAGATCTACCAATGGAATCAAAATAGATCTTTCAGGCATTTTACACAAGTCTATAAAATTGAAGGGGTTGGCAGTGAACACTTGGAGCCTTTGGGCTCTATAAAATTGAAGTGCATAAGGCAAGATGGGCAAGAGCAACTCGAGTATTCAGGTCAGCTGTCAATAAAGAAGGGTTGGGGAGCCTGATTTTATAGAAGGCCAACTAACCCCCCCAACCATCTACGAGAGTGACTTGGCGGCATCGATTCTATAGAGATTGTCAACTTGAAAATACCTTGGGGTCTCTGATTCTATAGATGCATTTTCGGAAAGGGGGGTCATGTCCTCCTGATTTATCACACTTAATACAAAGGGGAATTTATACACTATTTTATAACACCTTATAACCTTTAAGAATCACGGATGAAACGTAACAATAAGTTGCCATGTTTTTACCCTTACATCTAGTAGGATTTTGTGTTCCTCTTTTTCTTGGGTGGCCACTGTACGGGGGGGATTCATCAGCCATAGACAATTGGTAATATATGTGTACCCTTCATACTTCCTAGCAAGGGTGGCGCACAGTTTGTGTCTCATGCGGGTGAGTAGCCAACTCAATTCAAAGTTAATAGAAATTCTAGCAGTGAGATTCTTGATAGACAAGATCAAGTATCACTTGAGCAGTGGTGTCCAGGTTTCCCTTTCTTTTTCAAAATCCTTTTGTCGGGCCTTCGGAGGCTTTCCCAGGTCTTACCAGGTTTTTCATTTTTTATGGCCCGGATCGTCAGGGCAAAAATTGCAAGATGCTGGACACGCATATCAGCGGTCCCATGCGGTCCCTTTGAACCTTCAAATTGAAACCTGGCCACGACATGCTACAACCATTTGGGTTGCCTGAGTTTTCCAAATTGGAACTTGTTCAACATTGTGTGATTATGTATATATATATTATATGTGTATGTATGTATGTATCTATCTATCTATCTATATATATATATAAATATGTAATGTAACGTAACGTAACGTAACGTAACGTAATGTAATGTAGTGTAGTGTAATGTAGTGCAGTGTAGTGTAGTCTAGTGTAATGTAATGTAATGCAATGTAACTATGTATGTATGTATGTATGTATTTAAATATGATATAAATATAAATTTAAATATAAATATATATATATATATAAATAAACATATATATATATATATGAGCCACCGCCAAAAAAAAATACTACATATGTATTGGAGGGACATTGGTTTATGGAAATTGATCGAACTTGTTTAAAACACACGGTAAGGGATGGGACCTTCCCAGGTTAGCGATACCCAAATTGGACGTTGATGTCTGTGAATTATATAAATATATATATATATATAAATGTAGCAGTTTCCTGCAAGCGATACCCCCCAAGTTTACCATATATCATATATCACTATTGTACAAACGTGTGGTAAGCGATGGGACCTATTTGTGGATGTCCTTTCCGTCAACCTAGGGTTTTCGAGATTGCTCATATTCATGTATATATATATATATGGGTCCCCAAAATGTCTTTACAGTCCAAAGGTCTGATGATTGGTATATTGATTCCTTCCATATTATGTGTTGATCCGAAATATTAAAGAGATAAAGAAGTCTGCGGTCAAAAAGGCGCGTGGAAAAACAAAAAAAATCTGTTTGGTGCCTACGCATTTAAAATTGAACAATAATGTCAAAGCATTCATTGGTACATGGAATATACCGCATCATATGATACAGGAGTTGTGCTGCACTCTTGTCATAAATTGCCCAATGTCATTCTACAGGTATCCAGCCTGACCTGCGTTGAATTGGCAGGACAACTTCCGGAGAGATCCGCATCAACGGTCATGTGAGTCACTTGGCGATAACACAAGTCCTCGCGTTTTGTCTGTTTTCCTGTCCATTTGTGTATTCATTTGGACCCCGTGCAAGTCCGCATGTGTACTTTTGAATGTTTTGAGTGGACTAGCCCAGGTCTGTGTTCCTTTTTGATGTTCAATCGCACGTCCCATTTTGTATCCTTTTGTGATTGGGATTTTTGTTGGGACCCATGCCATCCAGCTGAAGGTTTTTTGAAATCCTACGGGATCCAACAGGTTTTGCTCTGATGCGGTCTGTATCAGGATCATTATAATCATCATGAGCATGAAGATCATCACCATCACCATCACCATCATCATCATCATCATTACCATCATCATCATCATCATCATCATTACCATCATCATCATCATCATCATCATCGTCACCGCATGTTTGCCAAATCATTGAAATTGGTGTAGTGATTATCTGCGCATGTGCGCTTACATAGCTGCACAACATTGCATGCATGCAAGCGGCGGCAGATTCAATGGCCATTTCAGGTACCTAAATTGGAGGTACTGTACCATATCAAGCCATCTTTGTGGGCATATCCCATTACATAGACCGTACAGGGATAGATAGCAAGATTAGCAAGCTAGGTAGAACTCGTTCTGTTCCATGTGGTCTCTGTGAATTGAGGTAGCATTGCAGAGATCAAACAATTGCGTGGTTTCGTCCCTCAAGATGACATTGTCCATGAACATCTCACCGTGCGTTGCTTGGCACCCAAAACCGGCCGAAAGGTGGCAAGAACACAACCGCCCAAAATCACTGGATCTCGGGGTCTTTCTAGAATTTTTGGACAGGCTTTGGTGATACCATCCCGTTCCTGGTGGGATTTGTATCCACACTCCATTATTTGCTAGAGATCTAGAGGAAGTGATTCAAAAACAAACAAGGCCTAATGTCTCAAAACCAGCAGCATTCGAGTGTAGTTTGCCCTCAAAATCGGTTACTTAGACTGACATAGCAGATAGTTTATGCTGGTTCACGTCGATTAATGTACTAGGAAGTAAATTCAGATGATACACATGCATATGTTATCACACTGACTTTTGCAGATGTTTGCATTTGTACATAGTTAACATGTACATCTAAACACGTATTAAAAGTGTATGTGTCTGGGTGCGCAGATATACGTTTCGCGTCTCGGCTTTGCTTCGAGGTGAACAGTTGTACTACTCTGCGCGGCTGCGCAACGCAGAGAAAACCTCGAAGCAGATGATCAACAGCAACAGAGCTGAAACAGGTGTCATTATTTTCCTGCGTTTGGGAGTTGAATAACCACCACTGCTTGTGGGCAACAAAACATTTGTCATCATTAGAATATTAGATGTAATTATTATGTTGTTTTTTCTTCATATGTTATTTTTGGGTATTGATGTTATTTTTGTTTATCAAAAACGCAAGACAATCATGAGATTTTGAAGGGGAGTGTTCCCTTTACTTTGATATATGTTGATCTTGGTTCTCACTTATGATTGACTGTAGGCTTGCTTAGGCACATTGAATTGTCATATTATTCTTTTTAAAGTGGGTCATTCTGGGGTATCTTTGGTTGAACCGATGTGTTATGTCAAGTATCTAGATAGCGTGTGGACGGCTGGCTAGTGGTGATAAGGATCCTGTTCAAAAGTAATGGCGGCTGCGCATTCACCAAGGATGATACCCTCCGCAAAATTAACATAGACCCTGCCAAATAGGCATTGGAAGAGTGGTCTCTAAAGATTGGTCATGTTCAGGGCCTGTGTTTGTTATATATTTCCATAGGGGATGAGAAAGATCCTAATGTTGTTGCTGGTGATTGGCTGTTTATTGGCGGCTTCACCTCCAGGGAACCATTGATTCCCAGTGTCCAAATGGATAAGAGAACAGGGAAGGTCAAAGTGGCTGCATCAGACAACCTCCCAGAAAAGATAGAAACGTAATTAGTATTAATTAGTAATTTGCCACTATATCAGGATTTTATACACTGTACTTGTTTCTAGTTTGTCTTGCTTGTTATAAGCAATTTTAAGTGTTGTTTTCAATTTATGTAGTCCATGTGCTGTTGGAAACGTGGGGAACCAAAAATCTGAAGCTGAAGCTCCTAAATGGCAGCAAATTATTGCATTATGTATGTGCAAAGGTGTGTCATTGTGTAGGTTTGTATGCATGCACATGTTTATATATATCTATCTATCTATCTATACAGTGTATATATATATACATATATTACTTTTCCTGATATAAATGCAAATAAAGAACGCAAAACAGATGGTCGGAGGAACCTCCTCCCTTTCGTGAAAACCACAATCCTTGTCCTCATCCTTTTTCGCCAAGAGCATGTTCCTTATGATTTCCCCAGGCAATGGGAATTACATAGGCCTTACATAGGCCTTATATATAGTAGGATTAGTAGGTACCTCCAATTTGGGTTCCTGGAATGGCCATTGACCCAGGCATTGTTGAAGATGTGCTGAACGTGATGCAGTTGTTAGATGTCCAGGACAGCATCGTGGGCAACATGGAGCGTCGTGGAATCAGTGGCGGCCAGCGGAAGCGGGTGAACATCGGTCTCTTGCCTTGGACCTTGGGCGGTTCGAATGGGGCCTTGGAAGGCAGAATCACTGTGGGTGCGGGGCCATGAGAACCACCCACCAGAGATTACATAATCCATGACACTCTTTAATGGAGATGAGGAACTCATATCAAGTAAGCAGTAGTTTTTGGGTATGGAGTCTTTGCTCAAGAGCGGGCTTGGAAATCGACACAAACAAACTATAGAGAGTAATTGGGGAAATCTGGGAAAAAAATATTAGAAAAACAATAGATGTAGATGATGCAAGGTGGCCAAGTAGTATCCATCATCACCATCATCATTTTTTGCCAGTCATGGGTCCCAATTCATTACTTACTAAGCCATCAAAAACCATCAAAAACCATGGTGCAAGATGGGATTTTCCAGCGCGTTTCGAGAATTTCCACCGAATTTCCAGAGAATCTGGCAAGATGCAACCCTATCAACTCCGTGCCGTGTTTGGACTATCTGGAGTACCCTCTGACAATTTAACATAGCTATTGAAAATGGCCTTTTATAGTGAATTTTCCCATTAAAAATTGTGATTTTCCATAGCTATGTTAGTTTACCAGAGGGTATCTCATTTGTCATGGGACTTGGATTGTCAGCTGGCCATGTGCAGACTTGAGCATGCATGAGCAAACGATTTCAAACACTGCCACTGCGTGTTTCACATTCGTATGCACATCTACCTTTCAAGAAACTTATTGGACCCAGACACGTTTCGCCTTCCATCAATCAATTTATGTAATTATCATGAATTAACTATCTCCAGGTCTTATTTGTCACCTTCCTTCATTTCCAATGTTTTTTGTCGCCTGAGATCTGGTCAAACACACTCAGGTTTAGAGCTTGCAGCACGGCCAAGCATTCTGATGTTGGATGAGCCTACATCTGGACCCTTGGAGTGAAGTTGAGTTTCCTCCAGCGCCGTTATGCTGTAGCTCTCAGTAGCACAGGGGTATCATTGCACTAAACAAGCGGCACATGGATGGATGTACACGCTGGCTGGATGGCTACAACCTTAAGGCCGAACAGGTCAGAGACCGCGGGCTCTTTGCAACACAACAGAGAAACATAGAAGATCCGAGTCATTTCAGATGAATTATTTCCTTCACTTGTGAATTTCGAGGATTTGTTCAAGATTTGTTGCCCAGAAAACGAAGTATCAACCAAGATGATCAAGATGGGCCTGCCTGGAATCTGTCATTTTTGGGAGGTTCATCATTGTTTGGCTGAAAACAGGGGATCACATGCTGATGGTTTATCGATGCTTTAATGTTTCTCATATTTTTTTGCCACTAAAAGTTCAAGTTTTGCGGGTGCCCCACATTTTCGCACAAATCCAAATACCCCATGTTGTTGTTCATATTCCAGTTTATCCAATTTATGTTTTGTTTAAATCCCAATCGCTTGTTGATTTTTTATCTTCACTTTGTCATTATATTAATAGCTATAGTCCCCTGTGGATCCAATGTTGGGTCTATTTGCTGTATTTAACGACATGGATCCTCAGGGGTCTAATAACATCACCATTTTTGCTGATTTGATATCACCGTTTAACGTGAAAATGTTCAGCGAAAGCAATGCTGAAAAATGTCCGGCGATGTCCCAGACTTGATCCCCAAGGATTGGATGCCACCACCGCATTGGACATCATCCGTTCAGTGAAGCGGCTAACCGCCATCGGCATGACAGTGGACCCGGCGGATGTTTTTTTTGCGTTTCAACATGGCGAACAAAACTCCAATCACCTTGGTTTAAAGGTGATTTGACCAACACACATTGTGATTTATAATGGGGTTTAGAGCTGGTCTATGATAGCTAAGTTGGTTTATAATTTATAAATTGGTTGATATTGGTTTTTGGGCGATATAACTATAGACTATAATATACATAGCGGTTATAAACCAACAAACATAACTGGGGGGGACTACATTGTATGATTGAGATGTGTTGGGCATTGCAACCGTATTTCCATGTGTTTTCAACATAATGATGTATCATACGTATTCATATGTCATATTTGTACTGTATGCTCATTTTTTGACGGGGCCGTGGCAATTCTAACATCGCAGCCAGGTGGTGATGGTGGTGCACCAGCCGCGCTATTCGCTCTTCACCTTGTTTGACGAAGTGCTTCTGCTTGGCGGTGGCCAAACGGTCTACTTAGGCCCAAGCGAAGGGGCACTGCCCTACTTCCGAAATTTGGGTTTTAAGATGCCTCAGCATGAGCACCTTGCCAGCGAGATTTCCTGTTGTGGGGAGTCTGCAGTACCCATAAAGTAGGGGGTCATGGCCCTCAGGGCTCAAAAGTTTGCTTGCAGGGATGTGTCGTGCCGTTGGAAATCCACAATGCTGGAAATCCTTTCGTCCTGGGGCCCTCAAGCCGGTCCAAGTTGGTCGAGAAATAATGGCTTGGGAATGCTTATGATTCTTATGATATGCTTTTCTGGAATGCTTCCCGTCCAGCTTTGACTCGACGCCCCCGATTTTGAATTCTGTGAATGACCTTTGCCGAAGCTGATCTGTTCTGTGTTTTCACATTTATTGTGGCTGGACAAGATGTTGCATAAGTGGTTGCAGATTGGGAAGGGTACCTTCCACGGACGTGGGCAACCCCCATGCGCAGAGAAAACCCAGCAACAGGCAGGGAGTTGTCAATTACAGGTTGCCTCCATATTATGTTCACAAGCATACTTTTTTTTTGAGTCACAGAAGCGGTCTGGAGATCTTATCTAGTTGCTCCCTACTGAACATTTCAGTACAAACTGCATGGGAAAAAACATAAATAGACTGTTGAAGGCTTGGACCATCTTGGAGCCGCGCTTTCCTTTCTTTTGCCACCAACTTCTCTAGTTTTTTTTTTTTGTTTAAAACAGTCGGATAAACCAAAAAACCTTCACCACCCTTCAGTCTCAGGAACCCTGCGGATTGGTTCATGGATGTCATCGCTGGAAAGGTGAAGAATGAACACAACCCAGCCTTGTCAGCCGAAGGGCTGCCAGATGCCTGGGCTGAGTCCATTACCAACATCATGCTGCTCGGAAACGCTGGCGCTTGATGAATCTTTGACCACCCAAAGCATAGATGCTGCATGGTTAAGCAACAAGCAATGGGGATTGAACCTGCAAAAATTGTTGGACTTAGCTTGCAAAAATGTACATAGATTATCATAGATTGTTGCTCGCAGGAAACCTGCAGGAAGCCATTGTTTTATCGGCTCAAAATTGGAGGACGATCTCAATGTTTGTTCACTTGTTAGGGGTGGTTGAAACCACACTTTTTGCGTATCCAATCGGACATCTGCCGTTTGGAGACTCCAAGGCCAACGGACATGGATGCAGCACACGAAGCGGTGCAAGGGCACAATGACAGGATGGAGTTTGCAAAAGCTCTGAATGCGAAGTTGTTCAGTGCAGGAATTGAAGACGCTGATGTTTCTCGATTTTTTTATGTAGCATAATCCCATCCCCATTAATATTAAACCCCACCATTGTATGGTCCCAAACAGATCCAAACGGTATGATATCCTTACTAAACCGTGGTTTCGGGGGGGTTTAATATTAGGAGGGGATGGGATTAGTTTTTTGTTTTCACCTGAGTCACCCCCTACCCAAACCCTCAGAACATAGGCAGTTGTAACCCCATGAAACAACTTACATGGCCGCCCATTCCCCAACCGCAGTGTAATGACCAATGTGACATGTAAATATGTATGTATATATGTGTATACATTCATTCATCTAGATATAGGTGCATATATACGTGTATATATACGTGTATATATATATATATATTTTTGCACTTGCATTACACTCCCAAATTTCCCGTTTTTGCTGGATATATGCTAGTACCATCCCCATGTAGCATCAAGTAACATCATAACATCATATCCAAATATGGGTATATTCATGTATATTCATTTGTGCATGTTGTCATTGTTGTATGATTTATATTGAGTTCGATCGTTTCTATCCCTTTTCCTTGATATTTGCCTCCCACCATCCCGTCATGTAATTCCAGCTATCACCGTGTCTCTATATACATTATTACATGATTCTTTGCCATACGTATGCATATACATATGCATGCGCACTCAAACACAGATACGTATGTTTTCATTTATGTTTTTAAATATGTGCATAGAAAATCTATCAACATAGTTAATCATTTATTTTGTATATATATATATATGCATGCAAGTAGTCATTTTGTACCATGTTTAATCCAAAAAATCGCTGCAAGATTACGGTTACAACAGTTTTCCCCATGGAATTCGCCGAGGTTTTGAACGACAAACAGTTTGCTCAGCTGATGGCTGCCTTGGACATCGAACAGCCCAGCAACGAAGCCTTGGCCCATCTCAAGGTGCCGCAGCACATAATACACGTGGGGGACGGCAACCATGGAGGCTTCACCACGAAAAGGCGGTGAAAAGTGGTGGTTTCACCATGAAAAAACGTAACGATTGCCGGTTGAAGTATGACAAAAGGACGTGAACATCAGGTTTGAACAATGAACATGTGGGTCAACATGTGGGTTCAACTGTGAGATATGGATATCAATGATATCAATGATATCAGTTGTGGTTTGGCCCTCAAGCAAAGAGCAAAAGAAGAATTGAACCATCAAACATGTGGGTTTAACGTGTTTCACCGTAAGATCGCCCCAGAGATCGTTCTGTTGGTTACTAGGTTGCCCAGGGTTTTTGGTGATTATAAGTATGAAGGTAGGCAGGTGGGTTTCCATGAAAACTGCACAAAACAAGGTGAGTGACTGAGTTATAGTTTTTTTGTGCTTATGTAGTTGGACAAAATGGGAACACGGAGTGTATATTGAGGTTTATCAGCAATGAAATGAAGGTATCCAGGGACCACTTGGAGGTTTTTTTTCCCACAGATCGTGACCGGTGATATCATTCAGATGCAACATCTGTGTGGATAGGGCGGCTAGGATACGATAGGTTTCTGGTTATGTCAAACATAGCTAATTATTGAAAATACCCCATAGAAATAAAATAGTTGATTTACCTGTTCAAAATGGTGATTTTCTATAGTTATGTTAGTTTACCAGAGGGTAGGCCCCCAACAATTGACAATAATATGATATGTTAGTTTCTCTTTTCAAATTGCTTCGATGCCCTATGAACAATGCAATCCCTGTCGTAAACCCAAAAAGCAAATCCCTACATTCAGAGAAGCAGGTGGTATACACCCAATGGAAGGTTAATGGCATTGGGTCTGCCACATTAAATCCGTTTTACGGTATGTTCTAGAAGAGGTGCCTTCTTATTTGTTACATGTTCCATAACTTAATTCCCGCCCCCCAGTCACAATTTGGTTAACTGTCAATATGATCTGAGGAGCGCATGGGATTTAATGAGGGCATCATCAGCAAATCGAAAGTGGTGACTTTCCTCTTGGGACTTCTGGGTTCCTTCAGTCAGGATCGGGACAGGGTGAATAACTCCAGCATGGTGGAAATCTGGGAAGCAGAGTTTCAGGAAACCTTGAAATAGACCCTTAGGTATTGTCAACATGGTATTATCATATGGAAGTTTCCTAAATTGAGGTACCTCCAAATCATCTAATGATAATGGGGTTTTCCATTATAAATCAACCATTTCTGGGTTCTTCCATTTATGGAAACCTCCATATATTTTCATGTGCTTTCACAAATGTTCACAGGTTGTCTCTCTTGCAGTTGTTTCTTGAAATTCATGTCTGTCTGTGTGATCATGCATCCCGTCTTGGGATATCTTCGCAACGGCCGCTTCAAAGTGACAAGATTTGTTGCGTCAAGTGTCGCTAATTCTATGGAACTGCTTGTGGGAAGAAGCTGCCAAGGTAATCCCAAGGTAGCTGCCCAAGATTTGGGGGATGGGAAAATGATTTGCGGCAAGAATTGAAGAATCAATGAAACAAAACGTCATGATTTGCCACAATCATTTCATGATTTTCCTCATTCAATTTCTATTGTTTGATAATTTTGATAGGGAAAAATATGAACAAAAAACAACACACGTCGGAGTCTGTGAAGTTTCATGGTGCACAAGTGCACCGACAGTCTGACCTGCTACAAGGCCACGTTGTCCACCGTTGTGGGAGCCAACGATGAGTAGATCCCAGGGTTCCTCTAGGGTTTCTTCCCCAATTCGATCCGCGCTATAGCCAAGTATATGCCATTCAATATCAGCCAATAGACTTGCACCTTTGATCCCTACACTTCTGGAGATTGTACATACATTTGTCTGGTTGGTGGTTTGGAACATTTTTATTTTTCCATATATATATATATTGGGAATAATCATCCCGACTGACTTTCATATTTTTCAGAAGGGGTTGAAACCACCAAACAGTTTGTATATGTTTGAGTAGCCACTATTTGTTTGCCACATTGGCTATACCTGGGTTACCATCGCCGCTCACCATTCACGAGTTCCTTTCTTTGCTGACCCCAGCAATACTTGTATGCAGACCCCAAGTGTTTGCAAAAAAGTTGGTAACCTTATACAGATACATTTCTATAGGTTGACATACATAAATACACACATATATATATACAATTATATATGTTGATATACACACATACGTATCTGGAGTTATCCCATATAACTGGACTAGAACTGTATGACATGGTCAGCAACCACTTTTCATGGCAGGATGCGGAAGACAAGGAGACGATCCATGCCTCTGAGTCCTCTGCGACCACCAAGGAGAGCAGCACCAATGCCATCCCCGATGGTAGCTGGATGAAGTGGAGCCACATATGGCCATTTATATATATATAGGTGATATTACATAATAATTATAATAGTTATATATCATATAGAATGGTGATATTACAAAATGGTGATATTATATAGCCACATATATAATAATGGCATCTGAAAATGGGGAATAAACTAATTCTATAGTTCCACACATAATTTTGTCGTTATCGGATGTAGAATGGCGATTTAACCGTCACAAATAGTTGTATATCATGGATCAATATATATATATATATATGTAGTGGATTTTTTCAGATGCCAATAACATGGTTATTGAACCATGAAACATGCTGGTTTAATTGGGGTCAAAATGGGATGTGAAGGAAACGCTGGAAAATCCCCGCACCAACCATGGAGGTTTATAGCTGGGAAAATCATCGAACTACAAGCCATGTGTTATGATTGCTCATAATCTTGTAGAATGAAAGTTGCTGTTTTTACAGCTATAGTAAAAGCAATAGCCAGTACCACCCCCAATTGCTATAGACTGCTTTATATACTATAGCTGTATAGTTTTACTATTCACTATTACTTTATGGTTGTTATTACTCACCATTCCCAATTTTGCCATTTCTATGGGTGGGATTGAAACATATTGAAACCATCATTTCATGTGGATGGTTTGTGGCATTGCTTACTGACATTACCCTCTGGTAAACTAACATAACTATGGAAAATCACCATTTTCAATGGGAAAATCCACTATAAATGGCCATTTTCAATAGCTATGTTAGTTTGCCGGAGGTTTATCTTGTTGTTATTTTCACGTGTTCATTTAGACATCATTTGCCACACAACCACGACCTGCGGCGTCGTGACGTCACTGGAGCGATAGGAATTGGATGTGGGGAATCATCCATATTTTGGCCGTATGATAACAGAGATTTTCATGCTAGTGACTAGTGATTTTACCGTAAAAAAATACTTATAACTTATAGTTTTATTGAGTTTTTCTCGGAATTTCATGGGTAACCACATCTGAACACATTCAAATCACGAAAAAAAAACAACATGTTTCGTGGTCTAAGGTAAGAAACTTGGACGATCCGGGCGATTCTGCCTTCAGTTCCCCATCCTGCTACATCAGACGCTTGGTTGGATCCATCGAACCGGTACTTTTTCGGTGAAGCGTTAAAAAACCAGAGGCTATCTCTTGAGGAAAGACGAAATAACATGACAAATTACAGTACAGGGATTTTTTTGGGGAACTAAAACGAACTAAATATATCTGAAAAATGGGGGGAGATTCTGAGATTCCCATGTTTTGAATATCTTTAAGGAATGCTGAGCATGAACTAGTGTTTTTTGAGGCGATTTGGCATATAGGCGGCCTTTCAGAAGACAGGATGAGAGTTTCTCAATGTTTCTCAATTTGGTTGTTTGATGTATTCAACTTCATGGGAAGTACTCCTGTCGTCAATGAATGGTTGGCGCACTTGTCAAATCTAGCAGATCCACCACGACATGCTTGGCCGCGCCGATCCAAGCCGCATCGCCAAGGAATAGCATTCGATGGGCTCGAAATTGGCGACACAAAGTCATCAGTACCGGTCTGCTTCTTGTCTCGGTTGAGGCTTTAAAAAGTAGACTCGGTAGACATCGTGCCTCAGGATGTAGACATTTGATAAACATGGAGATACTGCATCTCAGCTCGGTTGAGCTGTCAAGTCTACTACTGGTTGGTAATTAGTGTCAATTAGCTCTATGATCGTTGATGTTTATACAGTTTTTTCTTTTTCTTTGAATAGACAAATGTGAACAAATTATTGTGTACATTGACATTTTAAATATATGTTTAGTGCTTACATAACTCTCAGATGTGTGGCAGACCGGTGGCATCTGGACCTGATTTTTTTTGCCCACGAGTTACTGACACGAAATCGTGTCTGAAGATGCTGTGGTACCATCTCTTTTGTAGTCAATGGGAATTTCAGGATCCTAAAATGGAGGTACGTTAGTACCATATTTTTGGCCATATTTTGCTGGGATATCCCCTGAAATTTAGGCCTGAAAAATAGGCCTTATAAATGGTAGGTACCTCCAATTGAGGATCCTGGAATTCCCATTGATGTAGTAAAAGACTATGTGAACATATATTCTATATATGGTAAATCCCCTACTAAACCATGGTTTTCAATAAGAATATGACCGCACATATGTGTAAATCCTCACTAAACTTTAGCAACCATGGTTTCTGGGGTGTGTTTATTTAAGATTAGGGCGATGGGATTCTCGAACCCACTAGAATGCACCCAAAATGAATATATATATATACACATCACATAAAATATATCCGCAGCTGCATAAATTCAAACGACCTCACTGCGACGCCACGACAGATTATGGCTGGTAAGGGGTATTATCCAAAAAATACTTTATATATCTCAAGCAAGTGACTTAGTGTCATTTATCCAGGTGTATATGCATAGATGTATCCAATACAAAACCCTGGCTTTCCTGGCGGTATTTACTTATTTTCTTTGTTTGAACTTGACACATTAAGTTTAATTATAAATGCATCTGCCAGAAGCCTAAGCTAACCTGCTTATTATACATAAAATGCCATATTTTTTGACAAGTTGTGCCCCTCTCGGCATTCTCCAGAATCCCTGCCCAGGATCATGTTTGCCGCGGCCGTGTTCGGACAGCCATGTAAAGACAAGCTGCTCCCCGACCACGTCTTGTGCCTTTGATCTGTTGGAGCACACCTTTCGAAACAAACATAAACAAAATGGCCGTGTTCAAACCGATGATTTTGAACATAATCTTCAACATCCTCAAAAACCATGAAGAAAAAAACAATCTGGTTGGTGGCTTCAAAATGTTTCAAACATTTTTGATTTTCCATAATATATGGGATAATCCGTCCCATTGACTAATATTTTTCAAGATGGTAAAAACCACCAGCCACCAACCAGCAATTCTTGATAATTTGTCATAAGCTTTGCATGGCCCATGGATTTTTTCAGAGACGCTTTCCCGTTGATCTCCGAGGTGTCCAATCAAAATCAATATCAGCCGCTTGGTGGCGAAACCAGCTTCACATAGCCATAGCACACGTTGAGCAGGTAAATGATGAGAAAAAGCATTGGATTTGTTTGGGCAATTTGCAGGACAAAAAAACATATTTTTGTTTTTTTGGAGTCGGGCTGTTAGCACCATTGTGGATTGAAGATATTGAAAGCTGAAGTGCATGTGATATTTGTGTTTCACTCATGCTAATCAAGTGCAGTACAGGTGCAGTACTGAATATTCTGGCCGGATTGCGTCATATGGATTCATATTGTGTTTCCTGATGCATTGCATTTTCGTGACATGCTGAATGCATAGTATCATCGTATCATCCAGTCAGATCCAATTAGAACGGTCCAATTGATGGTTTGTTTACTGGGCTGGGCGGCTGGTCAAAATTCTGTTTCATAAATACTTGGCAGTTAAAGGTTCCCCTTTGCAAAGATCCGAAGCTGAGAGTTTCCAATTCTCGGTGGTTGTTGGAGGGCCGGCAAACCTCATTGTTTTTCATAGTGTTTTTCATGGCTTACATCCCAGAGATATAGCTTGGAGGATCCCTATCCGTATCCCAATCCTGGTGCGAAAAAACGTAGGGGCTTTCATCATCTTTCATCCATAACTCTGGGTAAATTATAACGACCTCACTGCGACCTCACTGGGAATCATGGTTAATTTTAGGGAAATCATCTCCAAATGGCCTTAATTCAGGTTAGTGAATTATTATTATTTACCCAGATAACTATTTTCTATCATTTCCCCATTCCATACGTTTAGCACCAGTATCAGGCCGTGAGGCCCGAGATTTTTGTATACTTAACGTAGTGGTTAATTGATACGAAGGTAATAGATATTAAAACTATTTTTCGTTGTTATATACACACACATATATATATTAAATGATACCCATTTGATCACTATATGAACTTTCATAATCATACTATAGATTATGAATATCAACTATGGATATAGAAACTATGATATCCCAAACATATCATTTATCATAGTTGATATTCATAATCTATAGTACTATATCCCATAATATGAAACACATGGTAGCTAATATGATATCCCAATTTATCCATAGATTGTGATAGCTAATCTCTATGGATATCCAAATCAGGTCACGTTGCAATCGGAGCTTTGACCGGTGTCGCATGTCTTCACATCTTCGGTTCAGTCCTTTGGCGGATAAACGATCGCGTTCAGCTGCCGAAATTTTCCGTGGCGAAAAAACGATGGTTTCAATGGGAATTTCAGGATCCTAAATTGGAGGTACCTACCTTATATAAGGCCTATGTAAGGCCTATGTAAGAGAATATCGCCAGAAAATATGGCCTTATATGGTACAGTACCTCCATTTTAGGATCCTGGAATTCCCATTGATTTATGGCAGATATAACGAACTAGTTGCCCTCCAGTAAATTAACATAGACCCTGCCGGATAGGGGTTGGAAGACTAGTTTCCACTAAAAACTGGTGATTTTCAGGGTCTATGTTAATTTACCAGTGGGTAATGGGAATTATAATGGTTTATAAACCAACTTAAAACTAGGGGGCCCCATGCTGTATTAAGCAGAAAGAAACGATTAGAAACGTCAAAAAAACGACTGACATAGCGATGATGTACTTTTCAATCTTTTTTGGGGGTTATACTATATATATAGTTATATATATAGTTATATATATAGTTATATATATAGTTATATATATAGTTATATATATATATTATAGTTATATAGTTTTAATAAAAAATGGGGGACAAGCAACATGTTTGGATCATTTTGTATCTTTGTCATTGCTGTTGTGTCTGAAATGTTGAGGCACATTCCACTGAGAAATTTTGTTTCTGGTGTTGTTTTGGATTTTGGATGAAGGATCTTGAAGGTTAGTCATGCCCATCCTGGAGAACATCACCAGCAGATTGGGTTTCCCGAAGCTGCCTGTTGGCTCGCGGAACTCCAAAGATCTAAGGTGACCATCAATCAACTGTTATGAACAATGAATTAGAAATATATTGATAGGATTTTTTAAGAGTCACAGCAAAAGATATCACAGTTGTGTTCCAGATGCTATGAATCGATGATATTTGTTTCTGGCGATAGCCATTGAACACCACGAAGTTCACCTTGGGCTCCAAGAACTGGTGGGTGACCTGGAACTTTATGGTAAGGGGCCAGCGGATCATGGGGGTACAACTGTAGAATCTGTGGGTTTTATGGCATGGCCTGATGGTTTTTGATAGTTTATGGATGTTTTTGGTGTATCTGTAACTGGTTGGTGGTTTGGAACAGGAATTTTATGAATTTCCATATGTTGGGAATGTCATCATCCCAACTGACGAACTCCATCATTTTTCAGAGGGGTTGAAACCTCAACCACCAACCCAAAAAAAAAGTTCAGGGAAGTAACATTAAATTACATTAAATTAAGCAAACCTCCACCATGGACTTCCCCAGCAAATTTCTGTGAGGATCGGCCCCTCTTTTGGCGCGAGAGCGCTAGTGGCGTGGGAGTCAGCGCGTTCTTCCTCTCCAGGGCTACTGGGATAAGCGATGGATCGATGGGGTTACCTTAACATGAGGTTGGTTGTAGACTGTAGACTACAGATTCTACTCATTGTAACTCATGTACTTCTTATATACATATATAATCATATAGATATATATATATGTGTGTGTGTGCATGTTTGTTTACTGCAGCACATGCATATAGTAGTGCAAAGATGTTGATTTGGTTGCCTCATGACACGAAAACATGGTGGTTTTTTAAAGCGTGAGGTGAAGTCAGGGACTGTGGCTTCACCATCCCACTGTCCAGCATTTCATTCTAGGCATCGCATTGCATCCCATGTGGAAAATGGGGCACCCCGAATACCAATGGATAAGTATCATGATCCCCATTCAAATGGTCAATTAGAGGCTATACCCTCCCATCAAACATGGCAATGGCACATGCCGCTTTTATGTTTATGATTGTCCCGTCAAACACCTCCATTTTGTTCGGGGATTTCCCAGCGGCCACGTTTGAGGGCACCGGAGGGGACCTCATCTGGTTGGTGGTTGGGAACAGGTTTTTTCTCCCATATATTGCGAATGTCATCATCCCAACTGACTAATATTTTGCGGAGGGGCTGAAACGCTGAAACCACCAACCAGTCATTTTCAGACAAACCCATGTGAGGTGATGGTATATCTTTTCGATGTGTTGGTGTGGTGCTACGCCTACACTGGGTTGTGGATGGTCTTCTCAGAAGCACCCTGTTCCTATTGGATGTGGCTCATTGCCTTCCGAATGACAGCTGCATCTTGGGCGAAGAGGTCGCGGATGGCCACCCCCAACAAAAATCATGGTTTGGCAGTGGATGAAACCACACATTTGAGACCATAAAATGGAGGTGTTTAGTACATATATATATATATGTGTGTGTATTATATTGTTTATATGAATGGTGGATGGGATTAGCCCCATTGTGCCAAGCTCTGGTAGGAAAACAATAAGGAAGCCAATGGTTGTTGCACACTACTACACCAATGGTTCTGGGGAGTTTAAATACTCGGGGGATGGGATTGCAGTATAGTTGTTCTCATTTGGGTCTGTTTTACGATAGTGGCATCAAATCCACTTTTTGCCTTTCCGTCAGGTCATCTTTTTGCTTCTACTATGCGATTTACTACTGGGAGGGTCCTGAGGAACTTATCAATACGTATCTTTATTTAAAGCCAGAATGTATCTAATTCATTCTCTGTTTGAACTTTCAGCCAATGGCGTTGTCTAAATGATTGCCACTTCTACGCGGGGTGAGCACTGCGACGGGCTCATTATGCTACTATTCAGTTTTGGTCCTTTTATTTCCCATCACCGTGCTGTTGCTTACTGGATCCAGTTCCTGATTAACCATTATTATAGCTTGAGTTGGATCCGACCCACACAGGCTAAGGCGTTTTGCAGCTCCTAGAGGGTAAACACCACAAAAATTGGGCTTCCTCTGAGACTTGTATGGTAAGGCTCATGACTTTGTGGCTTCAAAATGATCCAATCATGTCCAATGTTTTTTTGATTCATCCTACCGATATCTCCGATGATGATCCTGCTCGACTTTCCATGCAAGTTTGGGGTTGAAGCCGCTAGCCGCTTATGCAATTGATTCGTATGACGTTCCCAGGCTTAAACATCATTCACTGGATTGGTTGATGGGAAAACCTGCAGGAGATCATGGTTTTCCCCATCCAAATCCCATCCAATATATATATATAGAGGTTTCCTGCAATTTTCCCCTTAAACTAATCCATTGAATCATTGTCACTAAATTCTTCCATTGTTTCCATGTCTTTCCATATGCTTTTCCCATCTTTTCCTGGCCACAACTGAAGAAATTCCTAAGGTCAGTGCCGCGGGCGTTGGCGTTTTGATGTCCACCCTGGTGCCGAAGCAAAACGCCACATTGGCCACGGCCTGTGTGCTGCTCGTGATGGGTGGTGCTATCAGTGAACCTCAGGTCATAGCTGATGCCACTGGGGTTGCTTGGCTCCTGGATGGTATTTGGTGATATTTGGTGAACATGTTCACCGGAAACTGGCGGGTTTTTCCGGTTTTCCCATGAACTATGAGGCTTTCCTGCACATGTTCCCCCGAACCAATCCATGAATGTCAAAGCTGGATCAATTTTTAGCCCTAAGCTGTTGATCATGGGGGGGTTCCATTTGACCGGGGATGGGATGTGCTGAAGCGGAGGTTAGTAGCGCCTTGGCATTTCTCTCGCCATTCACCTGGACCTCCGGAGAAAACTATTTGGCAGTGATTGCCAGCAAGGGAGGAGAGTCGGTGGTGGACGAGTAGCCTGGGATTGCTTTAATGTTTTTGTTACCGGTACCATTATACGATTATATCATTTTTAATTACTGTTGTTACATATTATTTGTTACGACTCTCATATTATCAATGTTTCTATTGCTTTTACTATATCATTATATGTGTTTTTACTTTTTACAAAGATTTACCTGAAGGCAATGGAGATTCAACCAACAAAATGGTGACCAAGACTACTATGTGGTGGTGATTTATTTATTTATTTACTTATTTATTTATTTATTTATTTATCCTGAATAAATGGCTGAGATGATATCAGTGTTTGCGAAGCCAAGAAGCCAAGGTATGCTGTGCCAATCATGGAGGGCTACAAGAAGATCTTGCTCGTCGCGGGTGGCACTCAGTTGGGCTATGTCACAGCGGCATACATCTCCTGTTCCTTGGATACCTTGTCGGACCATCCCAGCATGGGGATCCCAGGGCGATTTTTCGATGGCAGAATTTGTGGTTCATGTCATTTCTATAGATACCCGGCCTGGCAAGCAGCCACATAACTATGGAAAGATCCACCATTTTCTAGCTGGGTAAATCCACTATTTCTATGGCAATTCACGAAAGGTAGCGTCAGCTACCTGAGTTCTCCGTGCTTCAGCACAATCATAGGGGGTATTGGGGGGCCAGCCCGTGGAAAACGTAGAATTCTCGACGTTATGTATTAGATATCAATTATAAGGGCCCCCCCCTCTAAAATGGTCATGGGTTCAATTCCCACGGGTGACGCGGTCACGGTCCGCCACAGTAGAGGCACACTCTCCATGAGGGAGATGTCCCTGTAGTCCAGCATAATTGGTTTGCTTCAGCCTCAATACAGTTGCTGCAAGGGGTCTTAAAAAGGGGTTTTAAATAAACCCCTTTTCGTGCATCATTTCACGCTGCACAAGACACCGTATCATGCAGTCATGCTCTGGATAAAATCATTTTAGACTGCGCAAAAACGTTTTTGGTGTATCATCTTAGGGGCGCAGCATTTTGACACCACTCCTCTCCCACTATACCTTTCGTCCGCCTCCGCCTGCTCTCAAGTTTCAATAGCTATGTTAGTTTACCAGAGGGTACAAGGCATAGAAGCGTGAGAACAAATGCTGAGACTTTTAAATGAACCCTGCTCTTCCATGCGACTTGTACCCTCCGGTAATCAATCAGTCACATGGCTTGCTGGACAATTCCCCAGGTTGATGATTTTCCCAAGTGAAACATGCATTTAGTTTGGGGATTTCCCGGCTAGCCATGTGACTGATTACCAAAGGGTATGGGCATGGGGTGATCAACCAGAGACGCTGTTGCACCACAATGGGAGGACCTGAAATGGTGGAAAGGCCCAGGTTCAGAGAAACTTCACTGGATGGTCCTTTTTGATCTTTTTTTTGCTTGACTTGAGAGGCTCATCCAGCATCCTTCAGGGTTCTGGGTCACCGGATCTGAGGTAGCGTCTTCGGATTTCTTGCTTTGACTTTTGGGTACTTGGGTCTCCGTTGCTCACACCGTGGCAAGCAAGCTTAGCAGCCTAGCTGCACCACGCGCTGGGCCGCCGCATTGTCGCACAGTACAGATGACAAGTGGACATGGCAATGCCATGTCACTGGCACAGCTTGCATGTGGTTGACTTCCAGTAAGATCAGTAAGGTACTATGCATGGCAAAGCCAGGAATTATTGGAAATTTGAAGCCATCTTGAAACAAAGGCCACTTTCTTATTTGTTGATTTTGTTGACGGCTTCTCTTTAATGCTCTTTATGTGCCAGTTGAGCAGTTTCATGCCTGGCATTGTCTCATGTTCACTCATTTTTTAGTTGTTTTTTTATCTGACCATGATGTGTGTTTGTGTGATACCAATCCACCCTGCAAGCTGTGCCACAGAAATTGACGAGACGCAAAATATGCTGCCTCGGAAATAAAACTATACAGTAGAAAATGCAGTGCTTGGACGTGGTTAGGTTGGCCCGTTGGAAGTCTTACAGCCACTAGATTCACTAGATGTGAATAGCAACTAGTCTTACAGCAACTAGATTTTTAGCACCACCAGCACCAGCACCAGCACCAGCAGCAGCACCAGCAGCACCAGCACCAGCAGCACCAGCAGCATCAGCACCATCAGCAGCAGCACCAGCAGAACCAGCACCACCAGCATCACCAGCAGCACCAGCACCACCACCATCACCACTATCACCACCCGACATAGACACTGCCAAAATAGCGGTTGGAAGACTATGTTCATCTAAGCATGCCCAATGAGTGATTCTCAGAATCTTTTGAATAGATTGGCCAGTGCGGAAGATGATGGAAGATGACTCAATGAGCCCGCGCGTTTTGAGTGTTTTTATTGACACGCCAACTATTGTTGACTTCAGTTTGCTGCCCAGGGGGATCCAGATGCCCGCTATTCGCAAGTATCAGCTGCATACTTCATGGGGACTGGTATGCCCTGGATGGCACATTCAGAACTGGCTGGTGGTTTCACAGCTCATGTCATGCACATGCATACAATCGAACTAGCATGTGTGTTATATAAGGTTTGAATAATACAATATAATGTGTTATGTTCCCTACCTGTACACATTGTTTTACATTCTTCAACATATGGTTCTTTTAAAATGCTGTTTTTTCTCTCATTCCCCAGCCTATAATTCAGAAGAAGATCCGATTTGACTTAGCATTGATTTTCATGGTTATTTTCGCTGTCACCACCAGTTCAGGTTGATCTTTTTCGATGACCTTTGTGTTACCTCATAATTCACCGCTGATGCGGTGTCACGACTCTGCAATTTGTAGGTATCGCCCACGCAGATCACAAGACGTGATCAGAACCGGTTGGTGGTTCACATGGTTACCAAATGGACGTGGTGGAATCATTTCCGAATATCCAATTCATGCGCTAAAAACAACTTTGAAGATTTGAAATTCGACCTGGGATGATGAGTAGCAAGATGTAACAACTGTCACAGCCCTGTTTTTTTTCGCGGGGTTGAAGTGGTTGACATCACCAACCAGGCCAAGACAGCCACGGAGAGGAACCCGTTGGTTCGTCTTTTTCGCATCGAGGCTCTTCTGAACGCTTTCGAGGAAAAATCCGTTTCAGGCCTCATGCTGCTACGACGGCATGAAACGGGGGTCAATGTCCCATGGTTTTCGTTATTTTGTTATGAATCAAAATCGGTTTAAGATAGAAAAAACATGAAAAAACGTGAATTCAGGATATAATATATAATGATTATATATATACTGTAATTGTTGGTAAGCTGTCCCATATAAATAAAATTATGTTCCAATGGGACATTTCACCCCGGAATTCGTTTCTGCGACCGCATTCTCCGATTTCCAAGGCTGGAAGCGCGATGGCTCGAAAAAAATGGTTTCCGATGCATGCTGCTGCCATGGTACAGATGTGCAGCAAGCCCCAAAAAAAAACACAGAGAATCAAACAGATTGATTTTATGATTTAAGTTATTAGTCAGTTGCCATTATTGGAGTTTACTGCGCATTCTGCCGTATTCTTCTGGGTTTGCTGTCGATCCATTTCAGATTGCACAGGTGCGTCTGCCGCAGCTTTTGAAAACTCCCTTCCCCCCAGCACACAGCGGGACATCATGGCGAGCGCCAGCTTCACATTATGGGAGATGTCCTTCTGCGGCCTCGTTCTGACTGCATATGTGGCTGGTAGCCATACAGAGCTTGACTTTTTGAGATTTTTTTTAAGGTGGTTGAAGATTTTTACCACCTGAAGCTTATTAACCTGAAAGTCACCTGGATTTTTTTCATGCTTGTGAGGCTGAAGGGATTTGTGCATAATTCATTGCATGATATTCGTTAATATGTTGACCATGTAATCGGGGGATATCAAGGGATTTTCGGGCATTTTAGAACACAATCACCTAAAATCACCTAAACGTCTATCATACATTGAGATTTTACCCATTTTTACCGGTAGAATTTGTTTTTTTTTTTGGGGGTTGACCACGTTTCGACGGCTGGCTTCCTCCCAGCAAAAACAGGTGGTGATGCCTTTGATCGCATTGATCAATCGCTTGAAGCGGCCCGCGCAAGCCAGAAAGTCTGGAGCGATGATGGAATGCCACTGGGATCGTTTTTGGGTACCATCCCATGGATGAATCCGGTGATGACCAGAGGGGATACCCTCTGGTCACTAACAGAAATAGCTATTGAAGCTATGGCCCAGTCGAAATAGTTGATTTACCCAGCTAGAAAATGGTGGATCTTTCCATAGTTATGTGGCTGTTTATCAGAGGGTTTACCACATTACAGATCCAGCTTTAATTGGGATGTACTGGAAATACTTGCATACAGTGGGAGTATAGGTGCTGATGATATTTCAGGGGCTATGGCACCAACAGTCGGGTTCGCACTGCTGGGTTATTTGATGTGTTCAATCGACTAAATGAATAGTTTAATACAACTGATTTTGTGTTTTTTTTGCCTCAGGAAATGAATACTTTTCAACTTGCCCTCTACTAGTTTAATCTAATTATATAGTTATGGAACATGGCCCTTTATCTATTATATAATTATATACACCTGTGATTTACATATATTAAGAATTGTGATTTTCCATAGCTGGCAATGTGAAATTATATACAGATTATACAGTGAGGATCCTCCAAGCATAAGACAGTCAGAGGAGGATATTGTGTTGCGGGTCTGGTTTCTACGTGGAACCTCTTTCGGAAAGTGTCATGATGTGTGTGTTTTTTTTTTAATATATATATAGGTAAGGTAACTATATAGGCATATGTGGATATATATATATACCCTCCGGTAAACTAACATAACTATGGAAAATCACAATTTTTAATGGGTAAATCCATTATAAATGGCCATTTTCAATAGCTGTGTTAAATTACCAGAGGGTAGGTCCTATGTTTTTCCTGATTTCATACGGGTGATGGTCCCAGCAGACACGACTGGTTAAAACGCGGGTATTTTATCTCGTGCAGGGATTGGTTAACAATGCTTAGTTTGCTTGAATATGTAGGCAGACCACGTGACTTTCATACACATATATACAGTATATATATATACATATATATATATATATGTGTATATATATATGCATAATATGCATAATATGCGCGCTATGTGTATGAAGTTTATCGATATCCAAGATACAAGGTTGAAGGTGTGCAAGGTCCAGCCAAGTCCATGACAGTGGTGGCGGGTGATGCAGTTTTTGTAGCTGACCTGGTCTAGACATCAGTTGTTACCTGTTCGATCTGCAACTACGCACAGAATTGAACAAACACATAGGGCATGGCTATTCGGTAAGGTTGACAAATCAGAATTTTGACTAAAAGGCCTTCAACAAAGATAAGAAAGGAAGTACGAGAGTGTGCATGTGACCTGTTAACCCAATAGTAATAATTGGGAAACCTTTGGCCACCCACCTGCATCATACTGTGGGAGTCCAACATGGAAATGGGAGAAATGTGTTTTTTTTTGGTTGGATGGGAGAGCAAAGTGATATATTTCTTTGGCCAAGAGCCAGGTTAAACTACCAGAGGTTAAACCCTTCATGTATGTCTAGTTGTTTAAATCACCGCAAGCCTCGATGTTTGATAATCTTTGCTGATAGATTGATAGATCCCCATTTGAACAAGTAAAAACTCATCATTTTGCCCATGAACCTCCGGCATTTTTCTTGAGATCCGACCCGGCACGCCCCGGCACCCACCATGGCACATATGGCACCCGTAGCCAGCCGCAGGTGAGAAATGCTCGGTGGATCTGATGCACAGCCTGGTGCCCCACGCCGCGCTGCCGGACTATCGCTTTCGGGGGATGCACCTGAAAATGTCCGCGGTGCATGTGCCTTGAAGATGGAGATGGGCAGATGGGGTAGCTGAAGATGTTGGGAACCCTTCATTGATTGGTGAAAAACTTCACTTTCCCCATTTCAATGGCTTGCAAAGGGCCATTTAGAGGATGACACTTGCATAGTTGGCTCATGATGGGTGTGAATTGTCAGCTTACTGCTTCGCCAGGTGGGTTTCGACGACGTGGGTGTCAAGCTGAAGAACGGGAAGTGCATTCTCGAAGGTGTAACAGGCCGGGGGGATATTGGGAAGACCAGGCTGAATTTGGTAGGGGTGAATGGTTCATTTGTTGCAATCAATTGGAAGCATGTGTGCTACCTATCTTGGAGGGGGGTTGAGGCCTAAGATTAGTCATGCTATTTTTATGTGTTGTTCGGAATGTCCATTTCCTTGCTGAATGGGCATTGGAACCGCCCGGACTAAGAGATGCAAACAACATTTGATTTGCAGATGTACCATGATTAAAACTCAAGACAGACATCTGGTTGGTGGTTTGGAACATGTTTTATTTTCCCATATATTGATAATAATAATCCCAAGTGACTAATATTTTTCAGAGGGGTTGAAACCACCAACCAGGACATAGAAGACCAATTGTTTTAATGCAACATAGTTTATTATCTTTGCTGGACATTCATGGGCACTCCATATCTATGTTCATTAGCTGAAAGGTATATCGATCCCAACAGCAGCAGATGGAGTCAAGACGTAGTGGATCTACAACCATTTTTGAAGTGCCATAGTGCTGGTGATGGATTGCCTGTCAACATTGATAGCACGCAAATACAAAACATGTATTGGTGCATCCGATGCATCCTGTACTCTTTTGGTTGCTTTCTAGTAAATAAACTCGTTGACATGGAAAACTTAATGTTTTCTGGTTCGGAAAATGCGCTACATTCATCATGTACATTTGCCAAATGACTGAAGGAATTTTGAACGCGAAGCTTTCCATTCCAAAATTTGTATCCTAGGCTTTCAGCTGAGGTATTCACATATGATGCTCCTTTACTACCTTTAATTCTCTGGCTTGGCTTTGGCTCAGCCGGGGTCAGCTAAATGATATCATGAAGTCATCGAATCTCTGGCCAGGTGAGTTTAGGCCCAAGAAAGTGGCGGCCATCATGGGGCCTTCCGGAGCTGGAAAGACCACCTTCATGAACGCCCTTTGTGGTCGTTGCTACTATGGGACTGCTGAAACGTTTGCTGCGGATGGGATGGGGGGTGTTTGTGGTTCATAGATCAGATTTGTTTTAAAAGACACGTTCAACTGGGATTGTGGGATTATGCCGCAGGAAATTGATGCAGATCCTTCTTTTTAAATAAGTAAATAAATAAATATAAATATTTAAATATTAACACAGGTATATACACATGGAACTGCCATGGAATGGGTGGGGCGTGTGCAGGCCACATACATACACATTATAAAGCACATACCCTCCGGTAATCAAACGTGGCAATGGGCTAATCCACCATGTGTAGCTGATTTTCCCACATTTTTCTGCCTCGATTTTTATTTCAGGGATTTTTCCATTGCCACGTTTCATTACCGGAGGACATGTACATACATACATTACATTGCATTGCATTACATTGCATTGCATTACATTGCATTGCATTGCATTGCCTTACATTGTATTACATTGCATTGCATTGCATTGCCTTACATTACTTTACATACATACATTACATACATATACATATATATATATATATGCGCTGTACATTTGGATGATGGGATGATGGGATAAGGACACTGCTATTGGAAGCAATCAACACGCACAAAAAAAGTTGGATGCAAGCATTACGGTTCTTCCATATCTTGCCCAACATCCACGTGGTTCAAACAATACGCAGTAGTTTTTCCAGAAAGTTTGCGAATACTTTGTGCAAATTTGAATATCAAGTTGCCACAACTTGAACACGCCTAAACATTCACATGCAGTAAACAACTGTCAAGTGTGTACATATCATGTGTGCGTGTGCATGTATATATATATATATATATGTGTGTGTGTGTGTGGGTATGTATCCTCTTACCTTGTACTGTAGCCCGCTGGCTGACTGGCAATTCAAGAAAGATTCACGCAGAAACAAATCGCGTTTGGAACAGTTAAGCCCGCAATTTGGACGACCGGGTTGTTTCATCAGAATCGGTGGCGTAGGTGACTCCCCAGTGGATCCAAACAGCATCGAAGATCAATGGTAGCACTGACATCTAATGATTCAAAAGATTCTCTTATACAACATCACCTACACATACTTATCCTGTCATCAGATCCTAACAACATTCATCCTTTTTGTCTAAACAAATATAGCAGGAGTTCCGAGTCCGAGTTCCCGAGTTCCATGTCTGTTAAACCCCCGGCACTCGGTGGCACAAGCCAAGCACTGGACGTCGCTTGTGGTAAAAAAAAAAAAATGCGAGGACTACCAGTGGAGAGATCCGCATCAACAGTCAGGTGAGTCACTCGTCAGGGGATGCCCAGTTGCCTGGTGGACATGGCTAACTGGATGGTTTTAACATGATTTAACCTGATAATGTATATATATATAATTATATTATATACATATATGATATGATATTATATTATATATATATATATATTATGTTTGATGTTTTGTTCTGCATTTCTTTCCTCAAACAAAACACCTTTTTTTAATGCCTGGCATTCGGAAAACCATCAAGTTCATGACCTTGGATGAGGCCTGGGATACGTAATGAGCAATCCGAAACTGTTTTAGGAATTTGCTAGGTATCTTTTGGTAAGTGGTTGCCAGTTGCCAGTATGATTTGATTCTCACCTCTGGGATGATGATCCGCAGAAATCCGCGTTTTGGATGTAAAGTTGTGCTGAGAATTCAAGGAAACCATCAGAAGTTACTGTATATGGTGTTTGCCTAGGTCTGTTTATTTGATTTTATTTGTTTTCGAGCTCTATGACTCAATGACTCAACTTTCGTAGCAGATGCACTTGATCATGTTCAAGATACCGCAATGCCACTCACGCATCCTTTGGTGGGATAGAGGTAGCCAATGGGTGTGCTCATATTTCATGTGGCTTGTGAGATCCACACTGAAAAAAAAGTGCCATTCCAAACGGCTTGACATGACTGACCTCTTAAATCGGCTGCTGGATGTTTTTGAGAATGTATAGGGTACCTCAACAAAAACTGATGGTTGCTGAACATGTTCCCCCGTTACAACCCCGAAATTTACCATGGAACCTGAAAGGTTGGATTTTAAGGATGAATTTTCCTACTTGGACAATGTGTTTTTCTTGGGTTCCATGTTGGATAAAAAAACGGTTTGTAGATTGCCGAGCCATGGTGTTGAAACATGGCTCCCCCTGGCAGCGGTTTTTGTGATGTGCCCAGGTAGCATTGCGGAGATCAAAAACTTCCGCGGCTTCGTCCCGCAGGATGACATCGTGCATGAACATCTGACCGTGCGTCTGCTGGTCGTCGAACTGCGAACTTATTTTTCAGCGTTTTCCCGAGTTGATGGGTACCAAGTACCATCTGGTAATGATGACCCACATAATTAGTTATGACAAGTCATCTTTAAAGGCTATATTTATGTAGTTAGCGGGCAATTTTCCTTTGCTATTCGAGTTGTTGATCCTGTTGATCAGTGGATGGGGTAGCTTTAGTAGTCCCATTCCCCTTTGAAACACCTCCCTGGAAACCAAGGTTTCGTATTGGATCTGTTCATTTTGGGGCCAAGATTGGGGAGATTCAATATCACAGGGATGATGAGATTACAACCTAATCTCTTGCAAGAAATAGATAGAAATGGATAGACATGGATAGAAATGGCCGATATATACTATCCATGGAATCTATATGGGCCTCCATTGATGGGACTCCCATTCCCATACCCATACGGAATAGGGGTGTCTTATGGAAGTAGTAAGGGAATGGGGTCCCATTCCACTAATATTGACCAGCTTTAATTTCTCCAAGCTATCCAACGATAGCCATGAGAAGGGAGAGCATGATTGGTCCGGAGGATGGATCAAAAGTTCAATATTTGTATCTCATATTATGTGTCTGTATATATATATATACGGAGATCCTGGGATATATAACCAACAATATAATCTTTGGGCTTGTCATGGTATGCCCAAATTTTGGATAGTGCCCAATACCCCAATTTTTTCAGCATTTTTTATGTGGAATATGATGATGAACCCATTTTGGGAACCTTATTTTCAGACTGGGGCCCAGAGATCAAAAAGTCCCACCGTTGGGGTTGAACCTTGACTCAAACCCGACCCATTTCCGAGAACGCCACGGAACATGGCGGCAAGGGAAAGTAAGTGGAAAGCCAAAAGCAATGCGCAGCATGAGTGGATTATGAGGCCCTCTAGATTCTAGATCATTTATCCAGAAGCCTTCGCTGCCCGTGTTCATGCCACGGGGCATGTCGGGGTAGCACAAAGGCGGCCTTGGTAGATGGTTTGTAGCTGGGCACTGGCGCACTTCGCCGGCCCCCTTTAGGAGCACTGGCCCCGGCCCCTCATGATGCATCTTGAGCCCGCCCATACCCTTCTGATATCTTCAAATACTCTGCCTAGAATCAACCAGGTGCGATATACAGTGTACAGAGAGAGAGAGAGATAGATAGATAGATAGATAGATAGATATATATATATATTATATCTTTATACGCATACACGATGAAACCGGTATAAATAGCGGTTCCTCAAAAACACGTGCTGGAAGGAGTGATTCCTGGGATGGTTTCTTTAAAAAAAACTGCAATGGATAAACTTACATGACAGTGTGCCATTGGGATTGATAGCAAAAACAGGTTGGTGGTTTCAAACATTACTTTTATTTTCCATAATAGAAAAGGGATAATCCTTCCCATTGACTCATATTTTTCAAGATGGTTAAAACCACCAACCAGATGATTAATGGGATTTTTCATGTTGATTATGGGGTTTAATCAACCAAAAAACAGGGATGTTAGTGGATATGTCCTATTGAAAATGAATGATTTGAACTATTTCTTGTTTCGGTCTTCATCGGTGTCCCAGGGATGAATGGGATGAATGGGATGATCCAAGATGCCGAGATGCCTTAGGTGAACAGCTCTACTACTCAGCGCGCTTGCGCAATGCAGAAGATACCTCCAGGAAGGTCATTAAGCAGCTCGGCAACACATCAAGTCGTGGCGGGCAGTTTGTATAGTGGATGTGTGGCAATGTGTGGTGCAAAAAAGGCGGGAAACTGTCCCGAAATTCCTACTTTTTACGGGATTTTTGTTGGATCTCCAGGGTTTTGGCAAGGAGACAATCTGCCGACCATCAAGGGCTTCACCGGGTCCCCAGGTGATGGGCCCATTGAAAAGGGGGTGTAAAAAATTGACGGCACTGGAATCGCAAAAAATAGCGTAAATCGTCATGATATAATTACAGGTGGGTCAAACCCAGCCATTGATTGCAACTCCACGGTTCATGATGAGTCATGCTTCCATTCCGTCCCCATGTTCTTTATTTTCTTTGCGCGGGATTTCAAAATGGCTATATCCATATACTGGACTGGACATCACGCAACCAAATCTACTGCTCTTTGAAATACATTTTGGTAGTTTCATGTACAGTAAATTTAGAGAATCCTGTTCAAGTATGTGGCCCCTTGAAGGTTTGTGGCTTTGTTTGGGGCCAAACAAAGAGAAGCCGAGAAGCCTACAACCTAGATACAGTAAGTATCTGGGCTTACAACTGGGCTAGCTCTTGGGTCACGCTGGATATATCATGATAATATGTCATATTTATAGATATATATATATATAATTGAGTATCTATCTTTAATTATGGGTGAGCATAAGCCAGCCAACAAAACCCTGGGGAGCCCTGACAAATCCAAGATATGATAGAATATATTATCATCATAATGTCATAGATACCTTCAAAGTCCAACATGGCCGCCACTTTTTTCCAGCTACATCGTCGAAGATGTGCTGAACGTGATGCAGTTGGTCGACGTGCAGCACAGTCTCGTGGGCAACGTGGAACGCCGTGGCATCAGCGGCGGCCAGCGGAAGCGGGTGAACATCGGTGTCTGGGACGGCAACTCAGTGCATCTCAGCGTGAACGGCCACTCAGTGAAACAGAACTGATCATGTGAATGGGAATGACTCAGGATCCGATTCAATGGAGGTACGTTAGTACCATATAAGACCATATTTTGTGGGGATATTCCCTGAAATTTCGGCCTTATATAGGCCTTACATATGGTAGGTACCTCCAATTTAGGTTCCTGAAATGGCCATTGATCATGTAACCGCCAAAAATGATGAAGAACTCAGTATGTTCTTAATGATCAAAACCTTCGGTATATTGCCAAAACAGGATCAAACATAAGGAGTTAACTAAGCGACAACAAGTGGAAGTTGACCCTGCTTTTCTTCCAGACATGGTGATGGTGAAGTTACTTCCAGTTGATTTGGCGCCCTATGAAGGCTTATCGATTTCAATTTCAGTTGTTCTTTGTCGTTGCGATGAAAACGTGGTATTTGTGGCATTTTTGAAAATACGTATGATATGTCCTGTTTCCGTTTCGATGGCAGGCGCGTGACTTTATAGTGACAATTTGAGTATTTCGCTATAGCAAAAGTCACTGATTTTCTGATTGAAGGTCCCAAAAGCATCCAAAAACAAACCCATATGCTCCATGTATGGTATATATATTTACCTACATTTGGGTGATTTTTTAGTTCAAATGTTGGTAAATATTCCAGCACCATGGAGCATCTTGGAAATCATTGGAATCCGGGTGGTTTGGGGAATGAACTGTTTTGAGCAACTGCAGCAACCTCTTTTTGAAAAACATTGGCGCCAGAGGATGTCACTTAAGTTCTTCAAAGTGAAACTGAAACTGCAGCAGTTCGCATTGTGCCTCCAGAAAAAAAGGAGTAGGCATATTCATAGCTTATAACGCATTGGATTCGATTTGAAATTCAACTTTTGTTGAAAACTCTGAGAACGCCACTTCTTTAAATGATGCCAAGTGGAATCCAACTGCTGCGTGTCAGCCACTATTGTTCGAGACCGTCTGCCCCAGAGATTTCTGTACATGTATCTGATCGCATTTTTTTTGTAAAGATATTTTTGTGCGATTCACCTGTGCAAATTTGAAAATCTTATTGGCATCCACAACGTTAGACGTCCTACCAAGAACATCCAAGAATGTTAGCACATCCCCACCCCACCCCAACCCAAGACCTTCAACGCAACATCCACAATGTAAGACGTCTTATCATGAACGTTAACACATCCCCACCCCACCCCAACCCAAGACCTTCAACGCAACATCCACAATGTAAGACGTCTTATCAAGAATGTCAACACATCCCCACCCCACCCCACCCCAAGCCCTTCAACATAACATCCACAACGTAGGACGTCTTATCAAGAACATTCACACATCCCCACCCCACCCCAACCCAAGACCTTCAACATAACATCCACAACTTAAGACGTCATATCAAGAGCGTTAACACATCCCAACCCCACCTTAACCCAAGACCTTCAAAATTAGCACACCTTCTTTGCGTGAGCGGCTCAAATACGTGTGGGCCCTATCCTACAAGTCTTGAAGTAGGGTCACTCGTCGGTAGCTTCCTTGCAAAACATGTGGCACACATTAGGCTTGTCAAAAGAAGCCGTTTGCCAAAATGTATGTTGGACACGATGTCGTCATAAGAGCTTGGAGAGCCTAATCCCAACCAGTGACCGTACGTGGCTGGGGCTGGGGAAAATGGCAAAACCTTAGCCTGGTAGTTTAACACTTGATGCTTAGCAGCTGTCATGGGTTGGAACGAATTCTAAGGGACAATTATTGACAATGATCTTGGCTCATGCTATCTATAGCACATATATATGTGTATAATTGTGTGTATATATATATGTGTGTGTGATTATATAGAGTCACAAATCCTATAAATAGAACGGGCTTTCCCTGGGTTCTTCCTGGTAGTTACCCCAGTTACCCCACAGGACCCAGGTAGAAAAAACCGCCACCGAAAAGGCTTGGAACTTGCGGCTCGGCCCAGCATTCTGATGTTGGATGAGCCCACCTCAGGCGATGAGGGCTGCATGGGATGTTTCTTGTAGTCCGGATTGCGTGTGAAATGGGGATGGTAACTAACCAGCAAAAAGAATGGGGATACAGGGGAAAAATCAGGGATATACTTAGTCAATGTTAGTCACTCACAAGTGATGAATGGGGAATATGTGGATAATTAGTGACGAACCAGTATTTTTTGATATGTTTCGATAGTTTTTGCAGAGTAGCTAAGATTAGAAAGGCATGAGCGGAGTGTTTCTCAAATCTGGGAAAAAAGATTTGGATGACTTTGGGGCCCCTCATTTTAAGAAACTCGCCGTGGATGGCTATTCGAAGTCTTTGCGAACTCAAAGCATCTCAAAGCACTTTTCTGTCTTCTGACAAAATAACAGGGGATACAGCCAATGTAGGTAGTTGGAATTGTTCCATGTTGAGAGCATTCGTGGCTTGAAGTCCCTTACCCCAACGACTTTCTAGTTGGAATTGTTCCATGTTGAGAGCATTCGTGGCTTGAAGTCCCTTACCCCAACGACTTTCTAGATGTGAATCACCCCAGCACCTGCTATACCCTGCTGCTCGCAAGTCTAAAGGGATTGATCCATAGCAAAATCAACAGCAGGACCCAGGGACCCATGTCATCATGTCCACCAAAAACATGTCTGCCAGCAATCTACGTATTGGCAAAAGAAAATCACTAATTTATAACTTATATTCATAAAGAATCATACTGACAAATTTAATCTATTTTATATGTATCAACAAGTAGCATCCGACTAAAATGGTGTTCAACTAACGGTCTACCCTTTCTTTGTGGATCTTTGTGGTTTCTACGATGATTTCCAATACAAAAAGATGCGGGGCAGGTTTGGATGCCAGCACCGCGCTGGAGATCATTCGTTCCGTGAAGCGCCTGACGGCCATCGGCATGACGGTGCCGGCCGTGGGATTTAAAAAAATTGTGGTCTAGAGGGTAACTATGGAAAATCACCTTTTCTAATGGGAAAATCCACTATTTCTGTGGCCATTTTCAATAGCTATGTTAGTTTACCAGAGGGAAATGGGAATATCATCGGACATAGAACTAGCAAAATATGTGGATATATGTGGAGACAGCTAGAATTCAAAACAAAACAATTACTCTAATTATATCATATTATATCGGGATATGATATAGAGGCGAAATCAGATGAAGTCAGCGATGCGTATGATTGTTAATTATCAATTTTGATGCGCCAACTGCTATTCCCACAACAGCATTCCTCCCACTTAATTACATAGACCCAGAGAAGCACCACTTATCGGAGAAAACTAGGATTCCAACCCCAAGTCATGGCAGGGTCGAAGTTAATTTGTGGGGTGGTATCTTCTCGCCGGTGTGTCAATTCCAAATAGCGGATATACATTATTAACTAACTATATGGTTAATGGGAATTCCAACGGTTTATCAACCAACAAACACCACTGAGGGGGGCCCATTCTGTTGGGTGATGCTGGTGTTGAACTGTGATGTTTTTTTGTTTCGCTATGTGTTGTACATATGTCATATGCCGCATCCTTATTATGAATGGACTTCTGAAGCCGCTTGACTTTTTTAATGTGTCCGATCCTTCTCAGATTTTTGTTGGAGTGCACCCAGCCTATTTTTGTGGCGAAAATCGCCTACCCTAGAGTAAACTACCATAGATGCGATAGATGTGGACACTGGCCCATTTATGAATGAATTAGCCTTAGCTATTCAAAGGTTGATCTTCCACATCTATGTAAACGTTTGCCCCAGGGTACCACCCTTTTTGCAACTAACGCTTATAAGATGTTATAGGTTAACTTTATCCAAAAGCACTACTCAAGAGGGGTCTGGACCCCCCAAAATAAGATATACATATGTTACAGCATTTAATTTGGCATATAGCGATGCATTTTCTTACGCAAAGCTCTGCGTAGTGACACATTTCTTGTAACATATAATTACGCAAAGCTCTGCATGGTATTACGGTATCATTTACGCAAAGCTCTACGTGGTGCGACATTTCTTGTGACATATAATTTCATGAAATAACGCAGGGCTATGCGTGGTGCAACATTTCTTGTCACATAGCTCTGCGCAAAGCCGTGCATTTGTTACAACATATGTAACATATGCAGCAGCATATATGACAGCATATGCGTTTGTATCTGCATCCTTGGCAACTCGTGATGTACATACGCAAACCTGCTTTTTTGATGTGGCAAAGACTCAAAAATGACTATTCATAAAATCAAAAAATATTAACAAAGAAACATATTTTTTTAATATAAATATAAATAAATTATAAATTATAAATAATTATAAATTAGGAATCATGAATCATGAATCATGAATCATGAAATGAATCATGAATTATAATAATTAGTGCTGATAATTTAATAATATCAAAAATATAATTAAAAATGATATGATATGATATGATCTGATATGATATGATATGATGATATGATATATTTTTTTAATTGTAAATATAATTTTATAAATTTATAAAAAAATAGTTATATTATAAATTATAATTTTACTTTTGAAATCCAAACTTAAAAATTACAAATTATAAATTTTAAATAAAGATTAAAAAAAACCAGTATCATTACATTAATCAAGTAATAAAATGAATTTAGCTGTGTTAAGAAGTTAAGATGTAAGTTGATGTAAGTCGTAAGTTATGGTAAGTTATATAAGTTATTCATATATCAGTTATATTATATCATATCATTGTTGTATCAGTATAAGTTAAAAGTGTTATTGTTGAAGTTATAAGACTTTACATACTATATCATATCATATATCATCATATCTACATATAAGGTTTTAAATTAGTATAGTAAAATTGTCATATCATATATTTAAAAAAATAATTAATTAATTAATTAATTAATTAATAATAAAACATTCAATATGGTAGATAAATAAATAAATATATATATATTATATACACATTTTCTTTTTGAAACAATTAATTTAACTGGCTAAAAAATGACATAGAATTATAATTTAATTCATAGTCTAGTCATTGATTCATGGAGCCATAGTAGTCTAGTCATAAGGAGTGTCCTATTTATGTATGTATAAGTTGTTAGGAAGAGTTAGTTATAATATAAGTTATTAGTTATAAGTTATAAGTTTTATAGGCTAGGTTATAAGTTAGTAGTTATAAGTTATAAATTAAGGTTTGAGTTTTAACCTAATTTGAAAATATTTATGACTAAGCTGTTGTGAGTTAAAATTTTCAGGCTTAGCTACAGCTACATAATAGTAATGAGTCATGATAAACATAAGTAGTTGAATGATAATGATAATACAAGCTATAAGTTTTTATGAAATATAAATATGTTTAATGGTCATAGAGTCATAAATTATAAATCATACATAAATCAAACAAGATAATATGATATAAAAAGATAAGTACAGTACAGTATATGTTTTTTAATCAAATTCCATTATGAATTAATGAATAACAATTTGTTAAAAAATAGTTTGCTTAAACTTAAAACTTAAAACATAAATATATATGTATCTGTATATATATATTATATGTTAAAAAACAATAAAAGAGTTCAAACAAGTAAAATAAAAATAAAATGCAAATTTTGTTAGTAAGAGACAAGACAGACAAGACCATACAACTAGTGCATACGCAACACTACACACATCGCATCATCATCTCATCATGAATCATAGTCAGGTCATGTATGTATGGGCAGCAGTATGTCTGTGTGTCTGTATGTCTGTATGTCGAGTGAGTCATGTCACCTCACATCACCATGTCTCAAATTCACATCAGAATTCAAAATCCAGAATCAGACAAACAATAGATCAAATCAATCATACATACCGGGATGACACAACAAAACTGTGCCAGTGCAATGCAGCGCAACGAACGGCAAAATGAGTCGAATGATGATTCCTGCATGCAACTCAACTCTTTTTTTGTCCCCAAGGGCCCCCGTCGTCTCAAGAGGAGGCGATTGCGCAGCCATCTGCACTGACATCCTTTCTGTGCTTTGAATCGCAATTGGTCACATTGCAAAGAACAAGTTGAAGGTTGCCTCTGTCTATAATATAGTTTTATATATAAATTAATTTAATAGTTATAGTTATAGCAATCCACCCAGTAATTCCGAGATGAGATTTGTGATGATTTGTAAAAACTTCTAGTAGTAGCAAGCAAGTAGCAACCAATAAACAAACACAGAAACCTCCATGCCAAGCGATTCGAAAATGGTCAGTCAGTGACGCTGTCCGGCTAGCGGTTTGCTAACAACTCACAGCACAAACTCGTCAGCATCATCAGTCATCTCAAGCGAATCTCCACACATGTGCAACAGTCGGCACAGCTGAGTAGTGGTATCCATGGCAGCATCTCCATTCATTTGCTCGCATTCAATGGCGCAAAGCACTGCAATGTCTACAGCCAAAGACACAGATGATGAAAACATATTCCCTGCCAAATCAGATAGTTGAGCTTGTGTGTGGGTCCCACCATGCAAAATGCTGGAAGGAAACCCCTGGAGTCGCATCAGATCAGACCCCACAAGGAAGCGCCCAGTGGGGTAGTGGAACAAATGGCAATTGGGCAGAATCGTTGGAGCATTCTGGTTCTTGGAGCCCCTGACTCTGGACATGTTTTGCGATGCATCCACCCATACCACATCTGAGTCCAGAGCAGTGATGTTGATAATTTCCTGTTCCCTCTGCGGTGCAGCTGCCAGCCAGCGGTTGTTCTTGAGATGCTGTGGCACATGTGGTGGCCAAGGCAAGCCTCGAGCTTCGCAAGCATCCATGTGGGATCCTACCCACTTCATGTCCTATCAGGGGTAGGTTTTGCAGTGGTGACTCTATTGACAAAAACTATCTTTATTTTGCTTAACAACAGTAGTAGTGATGAATAAAAATGTATTATTTAATTATAAGCAAATAAGCAATAAGGCAATAAGTAATAAGAGTAATAAGTAATAAGAGTAACAAGAGTAATAAGAGTAATAAGAATAATTAAGATGAATTAATAAGGGTAGTAATAAGTAGTAGAGTAGTAATAAGAGTCGGGTAATAAGTAATAAGAGTAATAATAAAAGTATAAAGAGTAATAAGAGTAGTAATAAGAGTAATATAGGTAATTAGTAATTAGTAATAAGTAAAAAGTAATAAGTTAATAAATAAGTAATTTAGTAATTAGTCATAGTAATAATAAATAATAAGTAATAGTAAGAAGTAATAACAACTACAACAATTACACAAGTTTACATAAGTCAACATAAGATAGCACAACATAATACAACTTGGCAAAAGGACAGTGGTGCTGCATAACATAACTTAACATCATGTAACATGTAACATAATCAAATTAGTATTACTTACTTTTTCTAATAATCATATACTACAAAGGTCAGTGCTACTGACATACAATGATATGATAATGGTGAGTCTGATTGAATTTGCTATGATATGGTACTATGATAATATAGTATAATTTAATATAATATAATATAATTATATTTGGATTAATGATAATGATTAAATGATCAATGGTTATTTGAATTTGGGTACATTAACAAATTGGTAAAACAAGTAGTTGAAAGGTTTTATTTGATACATCCAAATACCACTTTTCAACAACTAATCATAACTCACAGTCACATATCGAATCATATATCATATATTATTATTTATATTATATAATATATAATTATAATATATATTATATCATATTTATATAAGTTAAGTTAAATTAGTCAATTAAAGAAAACTAAACATATTAAAATTATTACTACTGTTTCAATATCAATAAGAAATAAATAGATAGCCAACAATTGATCATAATTTGAATCAATACAGTCAATACAGTGTCAATACATACACAAAAAACTATTAATTAATTAATTAATGAATTAATTAATTAATTAATAATATTAATCAATTTATATTTATAAATTTATAAATTTATTTATTTATAAATAATTTATAAAATTTATAAATGAAAAACACGTTTTTTTTAAATATTTATAAAATTTAATAATTAATAATTAATAATTATAATAAATTAGATTATTATAAATTAGTAAATTAGATTAATGAAATCAAAGAGTCAAAACTAGTCATCTATCATGAATCATAATCATAATCATCATAAAACACAATAAATAGTTGTTAAAGTTGTAAGTTATATAAAGTTATATACTTAATTATAATTAATTAACATATATATATGAGCCAGTATTAATTAGTTGCCAATGTCACTGTCACCAAAGTCAATGTCGTTTGAATTCGGAAACTACTAGAGGCAGTGATACTGTGATCCAAATTAGTCACTGACCATCAGTCCTTTGTGTCAGCTGTTTCTGCCTTCTTCTCCGCATCCTTTCGGAAAGCCTCTCTCCGGTGAAGTTCGGCTTGCAAATCAGGATCATCATCTGCAAGTAGAAGCGATTGCACCGGCAAAGTGGGTGTCTTCATAGCTTCCAGCAAGTAGCCAATCTCCTCAAAGAAGTCCTCTGGGGGTTTGTTGGTGACAAATCCGTCCAGGCGGTAGCCAACAATGTAGATCCGATTCCTGCAGAAATCAAATGCAAGACCGGCTGTGCAAAAATAAAAACAAGCTAAAAGTATCATTGAGACCGACGCACCCCAATGTGCAGGATTTGGTTTGTGAAAAATATGAATAATCATAATCATGGATCCTGATGTGATAATGATATGATATGATATGATATGATATGGTCTGGTCGGTATGTAATGTACAGTAATGTATGAGGATATGAAACGATATGGTATGATATGATATGATGTGGTTCAATATTAATATGATTTATGATATGGTTTGAAATAATAATACTGCATGAACACATGATATGATATTATGATATGATATGACATGCTATGGAAATGATATGATGATTCGCTTTGGTATGATATGATTGACATGAAATGAAATGGATTGAAATGAAATGATAATATGATTCGATATGATTTGATATTATGATATGATATGGCATTGCATGATTTGAAATGATATGAATATGATATGAATTAACATAAAGTGATTTTGATATGATTCGATATTGATTCGGTGATATTATGATATGATATGATGGTATGAATTATTATTTTATACAATGATATTATATGAATATGAACGATATGACGATATGACATGATATTATTTCATATAATTTTATGATTTACAATTTATATATACAGATGCAATTTATATCTTTTGATTTGGTGATGGTATGAAACATGATTTGTTGTAAAAACTTGATATGATGAGATGATATGATATGATATATGACATGACATGATATGATATATAATTATATTATTTTTATATAAAAAATATATTATTATTATATATATAATTAGAATATAAATATATAAATTGTATAACTGTATAACGGTATAACAATAACCAAATTATTAAAATAGTATTGTCTTGCTATTATTATTAATTTTCAAATTACATATTTTTGAAAAATATAAATATGATGGTATGATGATAAATATATTATATTATATTATATTATATATTATATTATATTATATTATAATATTATATTATATTATATTAAAATAATTGTATGATATATTATATGATATATAATTTATTATAATGAAAAATATAAATTATAAAATCATAAATTTATAAATTATAAATTGCTATAAATTATAATTATAACTATAATTATTATTATTATATAATTTAATAAACTAAATTTAATATTAATTTATATTAATATCAGTCAATAATCCTTAAATTATTATTTATTATGTGATATGATTTGATGATATGATGATATGATGATGATTGATATTATGATTTCAATATGATATTGTCATGAGCAGATACGATTCTGATATGAACTGATATGTGCCGTTGTGCTGGTAAGGTGACAGTGACATAGTCATAGCCAGGGCCATAGCCATAGTTATAGTCTAGACAGTCAACATGTTATGTTTGCCATGTACTTGGTACATACATACATACAGTACAATTTATTTACTTACATCCACAATTACAAAACAACCCGGGTCCTGTTCTGTGGTAAGATGTAGTCAGAGGTTGCCAGGTGGTATACATGCGCCTCATACATCCCGTTGTCCACCGTGCGAAGCTCTTCCATCACTCGTGCCAAATTGGAATCTTGCTGTGACTCGCCACCAGCACTGTCCACATTCTCCAGGACAAAGACCTTCGGTTTGGACCATTCAATCATTCCCAACGTCCCATAGAACGTGCTCACAGAGCTGTTTGAGAAGTCGCCCATTTTCATGCTCTCTCTAAACTCTGCAAAGCGGCTGTTCATTCGAGAATTGCCTTTGCAAGAGAAGCCGCTCTTGAGCATAAATATCTCCTTGTCCATTGGGTTGCATTCTGCACGATGGTGAACACAAAAGGGTGCTTTGATGGAATCATCCTTTGCATTGCCTTTGCTGCCTTTGCTATCGTCCTTCTGCTTGAAATGCGCTGCTGCAGACCCGAGCGTCATCACATCATCATAGATGCAGCAAGAACTAGGCACAATGTGGTGGGCCAAATGCTGCTGCTTCCATCCCTCACGCTCACATGCCATCACAACTTTGACAGTAGCGGGTAGCAGGAAATGATCACTCAGTTCCTGCACCGCAGCATTGAGAGTGAGCTCCCCTGTCCCAGAGCCACTGCACAGCGAAGCGACATTCATCACTGCTGGTAGATCCACAAACTCAACACCACATGCACACACTTTGCGTATGTACAACCGTGCCATCTTGACCAAGAAGTCGTGGCAATCAAAGCAACCAGATTCAGTCAGAAAGACCTTGAGCTCTTCAGTATCAGCTTGTTCTAGGCCATCATCATGATACGGCCCTTGATGGTCATCACTGTGAAGTTGTTGAAGAAGAGTCAAATCAAGCTGCTCCTCCTCCGCTGCACTCATGTACTCATTGAACTTGCAAAGATCAGTGAAAGCATAGAGCGGATTCCCAAAGTCAAACTCCTCCTTAGCAAGAGCTAAGGTAAAATCAGGCACTGCAAAGAAACCGACGGGGCTTGGACCTTTCTCTATCATTGACTGTCTATGGATATAGCTATGACCATGGACCATACCCACATGAGACTCAGACTAGATATGAGTTTGTAAGTGCGAATGCATTTCATATCGAATCAAACCATCAGAATACCGTCATCAGGGTCATGAGTTAGTTATCATCAGTCATCATCATCATCATCATCAGTCATCAGTCATCAGTGAGTCATCAGTCCATCCGTCCATCAGCATGTCACTTAACTTAACTTACATTTAATAAATAGAACTAATAATAATTAATTAATAATAATTTATAATTTATATTAATAATTAATAATTAATAATTTAATAATTTATAATTAATAATTAACAATAAGTAATTATAATAAACTACTCTTAAATTAATCAGATAATCATCATCAACAAAAACATCATCATCACTGCATCACCATCATCATGATCATCATCATCATCATGATCATCATCATCATCAATATTAAGTTTCAACGCAAATGATTCAAATGATGTTCAATTACTTCGAATCATGCACCTGTTTCACATGATCTTATATGCACATGACTCCATAAACTAACAATAAGTAAGTCAGTATGAATAGTATAGTATAGTTAGTACAGTATAGTCTAGTAAGTATGTGCAACCTTGTTAACACAGCCGGGGCTCCTTTGTGAGTTGCAGAAACATGAGCCGATGGTCCAGATACTTCTTGAAGAGTTTGTGGTTTCTGGCCTGCTTGACCAACCTATCTGTCTCCTGGTGTTCGATCAAGCTCATTTGAGGCGATGAGTCAGTCAAGGGAACCTCGTCGTGGCGTTTCAAGTAGTCAAGAAAGGATTCTAGGTCTGCTTCGGCATCATCATCTCCAAATATCCATTCACCCTCCTCTAGTTGGCACTCTTCAATGGTGCTCTCCACCATTGAACGAAAAAGTCGATGCTTCTTGGCCAGCTTGATCTGTTGGAAAAGGTTCGATTCATATTCATTGTCATCATTATTGTCAGAGGCAGGCTCCATCTCACCACCCTTTGGCTTTGACACATTTCCCTTTGCCAACGCGAAAATGTCAGTCATCTTCAGCTTCTTGACTTTGTCATGTCCCTTTGGAATGACAGTTGTGGTTCTGATTGGAACACGATCCTTCTTCTCAGACTTGGTGGTTTCCTCCTTTACTTTTTGTGTCCCATCCTTCTCATCCTCACATTCAGAAAGCGGCTCCTCTGGATCAAGTGGGTTTGGAGGTTCTTGCCACTCAATGAATGTCATGTTCATCTTTGGCAAGCCCTTCTTCACGAGAAACTCATTGAAATCCAAGAGGTCTTGGGCAGACTCTGTAGGATCAGGAAAAACATACTTTTCATCTGGGGCCAAGTCGGTCTCAGAACGACGCTGTGCAAGGAACTCCGGAAAAGACGCATGGTCAAGAACTTTCTGAGTCAACTCACGTAGCTCTTTCTCTTCTGGATCACCATCCTCAGCATGCACTGGTTCCACTAGATTGTGACCATTGGCATTGGCCACGGCTGTGTTGGTAGTCTCCGTAACATCCCTTTGAGACTCCATCATGTCAATGGTATCTGCCAGGTAAATCTGTTCCTGGCAAGATCCTCCCAGTGGTGTAGGAACAGATTCTTGAGCATCGGCAGTATCAGGAACAGTATCGGCAACCTCTTCACATTTGGTATCGGGCACTGAAGACACAGGAGTTTCAACTACACTTTTGTCTGGAGAAACATCATCGGCTTTCGCAGCAATTCCAACACCGGGAACATCTTCAGATTTTGCATCGGGCACCGAAGACACAGGAGTTTCAACTACACTTGCGTCTGGAGAAACATCATTGGCTTGCGCAGCAATTCCAACATCTTCCGATGCCTTGGGAGAAGAGGGTCCTTGATCACAAGGTTCTGCAATGATCTCAGGAGCACATGCCTGTTTCTCCCCAATGTGAACAGGCCCAGGTGACATAGAAATGGTAGGTTGGTCCACAGTAGAAGATGTTGCACCTTCTTCTGAAACCGACTTTGTCTTCTCAGTCGTCTCATTTGATTCGGGGTCCATCGTCTCATCCAATTCCGCTGCAACCAACTTCCCCAACTCCTCTTCCAAGCTTACTTTCTCCTTGTCAGGGTGGTTGAGAAATGAAAACTGATAGATACACATACTGTACCGACCATACTATACAAGTTATACTGTTATACTTATATAATATATAATATAATAATATATGATTATATGATTTATATTTATATTTATATAAATATAAAATAATCATATACCACTGATACTGATAAGTATATAAAATGCCAAAGATAAAAAAAAAAACTGCCTTGGTCTGTCTTGAGTCTGAGTCTTGAGCCTTTAACGGTCTATACCCAACCGTACCAAACAGCGTGAACTGGCTTGATAATAGGCTAGAAGTTTGAAGACAAAAAATCCATCCTCCTACATCATATAGCTGTGCACTAGCAGCATGCGAAACAAAACCTTGTCCTGGTCATCTTCCACAGACGGATTCGGAGGATAGGGCGATGCTTTTCCAACAACGCGAAGAGAGGTATGGATTTGTGAAAACGCGGCTGCATGCAAAGCCTTTGCCCTTTCGATTCGACGTTGCTTCTCCTCAGACTCTTCCTTTTGGAGAGGAACTGTACACTTGTCCTGCTGGTCAGACAATGTAAATCAAAGGGCCGATTATCACTTCGCATCAAGTATGATTATATGACATCACTTCACTCATCATGACTCCTCATGACTCATGACTCATCACTTCATCATCACTCATCACATCAAATTACATAGTTGCAATCATGTCATTTATCATCATCATCATCATCACCATCATCATCATCACCATCATCATCATCATCATGTCAAACCTGATACCGATACCGGCAAACGCAAAAGAATTTGAAAAAAAAAACACAATGTTGATGGAGATGAAGACTGCTACAACTACTGATCAAAACAATTCTGAACACAAAGCAAGAACAACCAGCAGCACCAAGACAGCTTTGGTCCTTTGGGGCCGCAGATGGGAAAGACAAACCGGCTTGCGTTTTACCATCACCAGAATCCTGGTTTTTCCTCGGTCGACCACGCTTAGGAGCAGGTGGAGAGCCAACCTTTTCGTGTTGCTGCTCCGCCTGCCTTTTCTTTGGAGCCATGATTCCGTTTTGGAATGCTATTTTCAGCTCAAGGTCAGCAAATGAAGATACAAATATACAATATTATGACATGTGACATAGTGACATACTGCCTGTTGTCCCTCAGTACTGTCAGTGTCAGTAATGCAAATGTCTATGTCCATGTCAAATCAATGACTGTAGAAGGAAAGCTGGTCGACGGTTTGAGGCCCAAAAATACTTGGAAAGAAAATTGAATTAGCTAGCCAGTGCACACCTTTCTCAAACTGGCAGCTGACAATGAACACATAGGCAGTGGCAGTTCTCACAAGCAGCTGGAGTTTTGTTTCTGCAGCTGATGCTGTCTGTCTAATGTGGACTTTGCGTAACGCAGTAAAGCTCGGCTTGAATGACTCTCAGCTCGTTGTTGAGCAGAGTATGGATCACTCAGTGAGAAACACTGAGCATAAAGGGCTAAGAAGTTCTTTGTGGCCTTCGTAAACGTTTGTAAATTGGCCACTGGATGGGAAGCGATCAGAGGATTTTCCCACAGTCTGACGCTTCTACCAACCCCAAAAAAGAGCGGAAGTGGTTGCAATTCAACTCATCCATCGGTAACATGTGGGTTTTCTTTCAGCCCAACACTCTGACTCTTTTTCTGTTTAGCAAGTGCAAAGTGACAATGTGAGTTCATGTGACGTGAGGATAAGAGATATGATTTATGATGATATTCATTACGATGATTATGATTCGATTGGGTAATAGGCAATAGGTAAGTAAAAAAATATAATAAAAACAATAATTTCTGATTCAAGAGGCCGTGACGTAGACCAGATCATGCACTGATGACCCTAGCCTTGGCCTGCCTGTCTGGCAAAAACCCACGGTAAGACATTCTCTCAGTCTAGCTGCTAGTATTGTACTGTGACTGTGACTCGAAAATGCCATCAAATCCCACAAAGGCATTTGAATCAGGTCCAATTTGCTCTGTCCTACTGAGAAAAAATGTCTGTACAAGTGCGTAATGCCGCACACCACTTCTCACTGCTGCTGCAAGTGCCAAGTGCAAGAAGATCTACACTTTAAGTCCTGCAATTGCCATCAACTCGGCTGCTTTGGATTGAATCTCACCAGGCAAAGAAATTCCATCATTGGAAGCATGGGTCAGCGCATACTCAAGGTGCTTGCAAAGCTGACCATGTTTGGTATCAGTCTTCTTTGCCAACTCAGGTGTCATTGAAGACCATGTAGGTGAGCTCAAAACCGTAAGGACAGTGGAGATGTACAGGAATGTTTTTCCCTCTGTAAGAGCAGAACTGACAGCACTAATGTTGCTATCCATTCCAGCCAATGAGCAGCATGTTGTAGCGGCAGCGACAAACGCTTTGAGCTTTGCCACTATCTCTGCGATCTTCTCCAGCCCAGAAGCCTTTGCCATAAACTGCTTCACTGACGAATTGTGATCATCAGGATTGTATGTTGGCAACTGCAAAGATGCTAAGGTTTCTGCCATTTTTTGCGACTGTTCACCGATCTTGTTGGAAAAGTCGGATGACCACTCTGCAAACTTGGTCTTGAGAACAACAATCAGTGGCTTGACCTTCTCATCAACACCATGCCCGCAAAGGATATCTGGAACTGATGGTTCTCCAAACTTCTCCATTGACGCAATGCCAGCCTTCATCTCCTTCAGAGCAGAGAACATGCTGGTACTTTCAGGACTAGGCTTCGCGGAAATCTTCAGAACCGCCGGTGCTTCAGAGTATGCAAGACCTGACATGACACAGAGGTGACAGTCATAAGCAAATCATTAAAAAATAATCCAGGGTCATGAGTCATGAGTCATGACTCACTCATGATGAGTCATGAGTCATGAGTCAAGTCATATCATATCAAGTCATATCAAATCATATAATCATATCATCAATATCAAAAATCATATCATATGAATCATATCATCATATCATACCATTGCATGTAAAAGCCATGAGAGTCATGAGTCATGATAAGAGTAAGTCATAGAGTCATAAGTCGTCGAGTCATAAGTCATAAGTCAGTTGTGAGTTGTGAGTTGTGAGTCAAAAGTTTTGAGTAGTAGTAAGTAGTCATCATTATCACGTGTCATAGACATGGTCATAGTCATAATCGTGAGTCTATGAGTCTATGAGTCATAGGCTTAGGCATCAAGTGAGTCACAATTAGTCATGATGAGTGTCAAAACAAGAGAAACACACTGAGCTTCAAACCATTGAAGCCAATTTGGCGGAAAATAGAAGTGGCTTGTCCAAAGATATGCATCTCTTTGCGCTCTTCCTCAGAGAACACGTCTGATGTTCCAAGTCTCATGTAGTCCTCAGTCACTTGAAGAAGATCAGGCCAAATTGAGGAAGCTGGTTCTTTGACGAGTGCTCCTTGGAGCAAGTTGACCATTTTGCCATGCAGTTCTTGCTTCTTTTCCTTGAACCCCTTCTGCATTTGCTCACCAAAGTACTTGCCAAAGTTGGTGAATGCTTCATGAAGTTTGGGAAATGATGCTGCAGGGTAACTCTTGGTCAGATCATGCTCACATTTGTCCCAGTCGTCCATGTACGTCTGCACCTTCTGGAGTGGAATTGGGAGTGACTCTCCGGAAGACCATCCGAGTTCCAATGCATCACAGCATTTTTTGATGGTTGCATGGTGCCTGCCACAGGCATAAACAAACAGCATTTGGCCACAACAAGTAATGAGTTGAGTCAATAAGATTCAATAAGCCAATGAGCAAAATGGATGGAGTCTGAATCCTCTATGAGTCTATGAAACTGAAAACAACAATAAAAACTAATTTTGCTGTAGGTTGTAGGTTGTATTCTTTCCCAACATGCCGGGCCTGAAAATGGATTCCTCCGACATATACTTGCAGAGGCCGAGAACATTCCAGGCTGGACATTCCAGGCTCTTCATCTTGTTGGTCGCATGCATGAGCTGGCTGGCGATGTAGCTCGCAAACTCAGACTCGATGTGCTCCTGAATGCATGACTGAGCCTTCTCCTTCAACTTCTCATGCAAAGAAGGTAGGTTTGCAGATCCGGGTTTGTCCTGCATCATCGTCTCAACCTTCACCAGCTCAGACCATATCTCAATGAGCTCGGATGTAGACATCTCGGTCTTGGCATCCAATTGATCGATTTTTGTGGTGACAGCAGCAAGATGCTCTAACGATTTGTCTGCTGCAATTCTTTTCTGAGCAGTGTCATGAGCTTCGTTGAGTAGAATGTTTCCCTGTGGCAAGCTTTTCATTGCTTGAAACATGCGATATTCATCTGATCCTTCACGCACAAGTGCAACAGCATTCAACACCTGGTTCGGGAGAATTGTCTTGTCGTCCATCATTGAAAAGATCTTCACAAGGGCCTTGATCTGATTGGCTGATGTTTCTGAAAGAATCACTTGGTCTTTGCTCACTGCCTCAAGGAAGAGTCTCAAGTGGGCAACAGTTGGAGTATTGAGCTTCAAATTGGCTGGTGGCAACGTGCGCAGCAGTTTCTGCATCACCTGTTCCAAGATCAACCCATAGTGATGCTTGAAGAAGTCTTGATCAGGCAACTCTGGCATTTCTTTGGACATGATCTCCGCAGCACAAATGGTAATGTCCGAAAAGCGAGTGTACTTCACAAAGTCAAAGACCTTGGCCTTCAGCAATTTCATGGTGCACATATTGCCACACACATATCCACAAGCTGTGACCTGAGCCATAGCATTTGCAAGTTCAGCAGGACGAGGTGCACTGCTACTGATCTCATTGAAGAAGCGGTAAAACATCGTGGCTGTCTGTTGGTATTCAGACACTTTGTCGCTGGCATCATCATCTTTGGTTTTGCGACGCTTCATCTGAGAACTTTTGTTGGCACATTTGCTCATCACTTCTGAACACCTGCAGACAGCAATGAAGAGAAGCTGGTGGCAAGATAGTAACAAGCCTACTCTAGCCTGTCAATGGACTTAAACCTAAAGCCTAAAACTTAAAACTATTTGACAAAAAGTAAACGTCGAATTGAGTGAGCATGTTCTTTTGAAAAAACTCTAGTGGAAGTCATAGTCATGAGTCATGAGTCATGTCATAAGTCATGAGTCATAAGAACCATTTATTATCTGATTCACGAGTATATAAATTTGAGAAGCTAAGTTAAGTTACGTTAAATTATGTTAAGTAACTAAGTAGTTAAATCAAACATGAGTAGTCAAGTCATCCAAAAATATTGCCCTGATTTGCTGTGCCTGGATGCGGAAAGGCGTGCAAAATTTACCAGATCCAATTCTGATGTTGTTGGCATCGGGCTGGATTTGCAATCAGTCACCTGCTGTAGGATCAGCCGCATCTCTTCGGCAAAGCGACCATCAGTCTCCGCCAATTGCTGTTGGCTGGCACGACCCCTTTTTGTGCCATTCGGGCCTGTCTCATCATCTGCACTGCTTTGGTGACCACGTGGAGCAGGTGTTTGAAGATCAGAAATCGACAAAGCTGACCCAGGCAACTCATCTGATGCTGATGCCTCCGCCTTTCTTTTCCTGCCGTTGCCAGCACCAGATTTTGATGCAGCCTTTGGTTTTGCTTTGGGCCGGGCTGCTGCTTTCGAAGATGGTTCACTGCCCATGGCCGAAGCAAAAGCTTTCAGCAGGCCTGATGATGACATTTGAACCTCATCATCTGAATTGGCTTCTCCTCTCTCTTCTGGTTTGTGGGCACGGGTAGTGATTTTATCAGCTTCTCCATCATTGCCATCCTTGTTGAGAGCAGCGGTATTCAGAATGATGTTGGCAGAGCGACTGCTAGATACCGAAGATGCCGATGATGATCCCAAAAGAACAAAGTCCTCATTGCTTTCACCACATGCTGATAACAACGATTTGACTGCCTTGTTGAACATATCATCAGCTTGGCCTGGTCGTAGCTCCAGATCTGACATACGCTGAGACATTGTGACTGCATGTTTCTGTTTCTTGGTGATCTTGAACATGCCTTCATCTTCCTCCTTCACGACCATAACCCCTTCCATGGTCTTTCCACGAAAGGTTCGCTTCACCTGATTGAAATGGCTTCCACCGAGACTTACTTACAACTTTCAACAAACCGTAGGTGGTCGTCAATAGTAAATAGTCAATAGTAGACCACAAAATGTTTTGTGTGGACTTGTTTTTTTACAGTTTCGTTTCTGACTAGATGACTATATGATTGACACAGTGTGTGTTTATTTTTTTGCCTGCTTTTGCAACTGTATCCTTGCAACCAATTTGTTTAAACACCGACCTGAAATTAATAAACCATAAACGAGTGGCAATTTTCTCCTTGGCCGGTTGGCCAAACTTCTTGACAAAGGTGTCAAGCAGCATGAAGTACTCAACTTCGCCCTCCATTTCATCTTCCTGGCTCATGACTCGACTCATGACACCTATGTATGACCCATGACTCATGACTCATGAATGAGTTTCATGAGCTCATTACTCATTGACTTAACTCATGACTCATCAGCCTAGCCTTTGAGTTGTAGTTATTAGTTATTTATTAATAGCCGCCCAAACTGCCCAAAACAAAAAAAATGACACTGATTCAATGATTGATAAATATTACATGATATCAAGTCAATATCAAAACAATACCAGGAAGGTAGAAGTCAGAGCAATGTCAGTTTCCTAAGTCACTCCACCCCGACTAGTCCTGAATCTGCTCAATGTCTACAAGACGTGGCGGTACCAAATCAGAAGAACCTCGTAGTTTCAATGTAGGGTCTTCAATTTTCATGGAGATCCACTTGCGTCTGGCATCCAAGAACTCGTGATGAAGCGAAGGGTTCTTGTGGATGGCAGTCGTGTAGTCTTGAATGGTGTCGTAGAGCACATTGAAGCCACCATTGCAGTAGACGTACTTGCAGATCCTGACAGAAACAGATAATTTATACAGGGTGTAGCCACCCAGAACCACTGAATTCAATTACACAAATATAAATTTATATACATCAGAATCAATACGTTAGCATGGACAAGTCAGGTAGAGTCAAGTCAAGTCTGAGTCTTTCATGAGTCATATGAGTCATATGAGCCATATGAGTCAGTCATGTCCATCATTTCATTTTGCACCATCAGAATCAAATCATAATTAATAATTAATAATATAGAATCTCACAGTGGGTTATTTGTTTTCATAAGTTCATAAGGTCAAATGAGCCTAAAGTAAAAGTCAAGCCATGAGAGTCATGAGTCATGAGGAATCATAATTCACAATCAATAATAAATCGTCGTAAAGTCAGCTTCATGAGTAGTCAAAGGTCTTGAGTCTTGAGTCTTGAGTCATAAGTCAGTCATGAGTCACGAGTCATGAGTCATGAGTCATAAGTCATAAGTTAATAAGTCATCATAGAGTCATAGTCGTCATAAGTGAGATAAATCAAAATAAGTCCTGAAGTCATGGGTAGCAAGTCACAAGTCATGAGTCATGAGTCATGAGTCATGAGTCACAAGTCTAGGATAGTCAGTCATAGTCAGAATCAGAGTTGGGTCCACGGCAATAGTCGTAGTCATTGAGTCATAGTCTCAGTCTATAGTCTACAGTCTGAAGTGTTACAGTCTATAGTCTACTCATAGCCCAGTCATTGTTAGTATAAGTCGTTCTAAGTCCAGTCAGTGTCATAGTCTTAGATGCTAGTAGTAAGGTCACAAGTCATACAGTCATGAGTCGTGAGTCGTGAGTCAAGAGTCAAGAGTCAAAAGTGTCATATATAATAATAATAATAGTAATAATAATAATATAATATATATATAATATAATATATAATATATATAATATATATAATATATATAATATATATAATAAATTATATAAATATAAATATGACCGCCTATGACATTGCAGTTACTTCTAAGTTTTAAGTAAGTTACAGTTAATAATAAGTTATACAGTTATACAGTAGTTATACAGATACATTTACATAACTTAACTAAAACCAAAATATAATTAACTTATTTAAAAGTAAGTGCCTTTGAGCTCCCGCCTGCAATAGACACCACTGGGACATGCTCGTGTTCCATTTCCCCATGGCAGTAGAAGTCCCCAGGCAGTCCCAACCTCCACATAGTCGCAAGTGGTCAAAGATCCGTTGTCACAAAGACGACAATACTTGATCCTGTAGTTGGTTGGAAGGTTGTACTTCTCAATCTGGTCGGATGTTGGAATCTCTGAACGCGTACTACGATGTGACACAGACCTTTCTGATCGGGCCTCTTCGTTCATATCAATGGCTGACGACGCTGCTGCACAAGCGGGTAGTGCTGTTGCCAATGCTGCTGCGTTGGCCGCACACTTTCCATTACTACTGGTTTTGCCGGGCACAGCACGTTTCCTGGCCTTGACTGTGTTTCCTAACAAAGGCATGGCTCCAACTCAGTCGTGACCGAGTGTCACAGGAAGATCCGGTAAGTCACAGGAGAAAACACACAAAATTAAAATCATACAAGTATTCAGTATTCAAGCCTTTGATGTTAGGTGATGTTAATTCAAATTCAAAGTAAACTGATTTCAGTGTCAGTGATAGTGATGGTAATATCTAATATCACTGCTCAGAGAATGCTCAGAGTCGGTGAATGGGCGCATCGCTACACTTCCTCTTTCGGACAAAACAACAGTACACACACAAGTGGTTGGCTGCATGCATGGTGCATGGAAGCTGCATGTGATCAGCAGTAGTGTCACTTCACAGGGCAGCCAAAGAGGCAACACATTTTGTCTCAGTCCAGCGTCTTACTTTCACATTTGTGAGTTTAGGCTGAAGGCTGCTAGACGACTATTCTATTCGTTGTCTTTTGATAGTTCATGAATGTGATCCTTCTTCATCAGAGTCATCATTTGAATGATCACTTGACTGATCAGATTTTGTTTCATCAATAGTGCTTTCTACTGCATTTACATCGTCCAAACGTTCGAAGGAACTGTCTGGAGATGCTAATGATTCAACGCTGCCTGTGCCAACACTGGTAGACTTAGATGCCTCATTGTCACCTTGAATTTCATTGTCAGAGTCATTGACCTCATCATCTTCATCTTCGTGATCATCGTGATTTGGCTCATCGAAGTTCTCAGCTGATGAGCAGCTGTCTCCATCATGCCCATCAGATTCTTCCTGACTAGATTGATCTTTGTCGCCAGGCAAATAGTCAATGTAAGGAAACGGGACACCTGGTCTTCTAAGAACAGAGGCATAGGCATCCATCCTGGAAAAAAAACAACATCGAGAAGCGGACTGTCTGAAACAGAAGTTGCCGAATTGGTGTCGCTCTCATCTGCGTCAGCCTTAGCAGCATCTTCTCGTACTTGTTCTGGTTCTGGAGCAATCTGAACTATGCTGCTAGCTGCATCCATGGCATCAAACCGTTGTTTGTTGGTGGTGCATCTGCATATCTGCAAATCGCAACATCATCATGTAACAAATAATAAACTCGTTGCCGATTGTTTGAGTAGATGTATGTATGTATGTATGTATGTATGTTTGTATTTAGCGAAACACAGCAGCTCAAGTATATTTATACGTTTGTAAATTAGAATATATACATTCAAAATATATATTGATTCATGATTCATGATTCATTGACTCATGATTATTAAATTAATCATATGAATTATTGAGATTTATATAGTTTATAAAATAAACAATATATATATATAATTATATATATATATATATTTATTATTATTATTTTATTATTATATTATATATGACCTTATTTATATTTATTTAAACAAATAAAAATCTAAAAAGGTATACAAGCAATATTAATATACTTTATATTTATATAAATTGTGAATTAATTATACATATGAAATTCTATTGTATTATATTTTGGAAAATAAATAAACAAAATATACACGATAACGATAACTTAACTATAACATGATTTCCTTTGAAAATGGTCCTCAGAGTGAAAGGGATGCTGGGCTGTGCGCCGTGCACACGCCAAACATGTCTCCTAAATGAAATTGTTTCTTTATTTTATTTAAACCGTTTAAACCCCAGGAACCCTTTACCCCGAGGACCCCTTTCAAAGGCAATCTAGTTATATATATATATATATGTCAATAGTGAATAGTGTACATCATAGTACCTATGCAAAAGAAATGCATAAGATATTATGATTGAAAAATAAGATCGTATGCATACATTCTGACATATAATTATTATATGTTAGAGGGCATGCATAAGATCTTATTTGTCAAAAATAAGATCTTATGCATTTAGTTTGACATTTATTAGTTATATGTCAGAATAAATGCATAAGATCTTATTTTGACAAAATAAGATCTTATGCATTTATTGTGACATTTATCAAATAAATGTAAGAAGAAATGCATAAGATCTTATTTTTTAAAAATAATATCTTATGCATTTCTTCTGACATTTAGCTTGACATATGGTTACATTTGTAGCTACATATATTTACATTTCTTGTTACATTTTTGTACATTTGTTGTTTCATATGTGTACATTTGTTCTTACATATGTTTGCATTTACAGTGACATGTGTGTGCAATTGTTATGACATGTGTTCGGTCTTTGGGTACAATTGTAATGGTACCTGTCTGAACTTGTTGTGGTTGTGGTGATGAGAGCGTACACACATGTATCTACTCACACCCACATAAATGAATGCATATTTTTATATATACGTAATATATGTACACATATATGTAAGTGTATGTAAACACATATGTAATCATATGTAAACACATATGCAAGTATATGTAAACATATATGTAAGTATATGTAAACATATATGTAAGTATATGTGCACTTAAATGCAGCAACAAATGTATAAGATCTTATTTTGTGAAAATAAGATCTTATTTTGTGCAATTACATAAAATAAGATCTTATTTTCACAAAATAAGATCTTATACATTTGTTGTTACATATAATTACATTTGTTGTTACATATATTTACATTTGTTGTTACATATAATGACACTTGATGCTACATATATGTGCACTTGTTGATACATTTCATGATGCATATGTTTGCAATTGTTGTGACATAGGCTATTTGGGGCATGAACAGTGTTGGTCCAATGTATGTAAATTGGTTGGACAGTGTAACCACATGTATTAATATATTGTATTAAATTAAAAATAACCATTTACTGTGCTGCTAGATGAAAATAATGTTAATCTGATATGTAGTTACATATGTTGCTGAATGTAAATAAATGTAATGCTAAATGTAAACAAATGCAATGCTAAATGTAAACAAATGTAATGCTAAATGTAAACAAATGCAATGGTAAATGTAAACAAATGTACTGCTAAATGTAAACATATGTACTGCTAAATGTACACAAATGCAATGCTAAATGTAAACAAATGCAATGCTAA